GACAATGCCACAGTCTAAGGGGTGTGTGTTGAAAGTATTTGCAGTGAGTGGGGAAGAAAACTTGCGGGATAGTGGGCCTGCACTGACTTATCAGTGACGCCAACCTTTGTCGGAAACTAATACTCTGCTGGGCAAGACACGGAATGAGCTTTGCCGCCAACTCGATGTTAGTGCAGGCAGAAAAATCGCCACATGCAGTCCAAGTAGGATAGCAAACCTGCTTTCCGTCGGGGCCCCTACATTGGGCGGGTGGCCCATATTTAGCAGGTGAAATATCTTGGCACAGCTAGAATAATCAGGCTGTTTTGTGCTTTGAATAGGGCGGATGCCCGCAATAGGGCGGGCGACGCGGCCTGGCATAATATACTCGCTCCATAGAAGGACGCCGATTACTGCCGTACACCCTTTTTGGTCGTTTTTTTTTTTTTTTTTGTATGCAAGTCGGATGGCCGCAACAAACAACCCGCGACCGCATCCTATGTGTGTTGCGGTGTTGGTTTCATTGCCGTGCCTTCCCCTTCCTCAAAAGAAGCTGAATGACTTGCTAGATTAAATACCCGTCGATAGTTCTGGCCCCCCGCTCCCCTCTCGGGGGGATGTGCGGTGTGGTGCCTTTGATCCGGCGGAACATTTACGTACTTATGTAGTGCGATGTGCAGCGAACGGGAGTTCTCGAAAAGAGCGAAGAGATACGTGCCACGACCGCCCTGGAGCAGCGACAACTCTGCCTGTGTTGATGCTCTCACAGGGAGATCTACGACCTCGTAACAGAACACGACAGCGTTATTCGTGGTCGTTGGTAAAAAATCATGACCCATATGAATGATGGGGGTGCGGAGATGAGAGCGAAACAGTCGCAAAAGCGTGGGAAGAAATTCCTGAGCGCCCTGAGAGCAGCTTATGATGTCGCCATAAATAAAAAAAATGACGACGTAAATGACGTGGAATCTCACCTATTTAGTTCTCATGGTACAGTATTGTTTTGTTTTTTTCAGTGTCAGCGGGAGAGCAGTTAGTCGGCGTTGCTCTCCCTCCAAAGTGCGTGCGGAAGAACTATAACAACAACGGTGTCGTGTCGGAACCGAATCACGTCGACTTGACCACTAAAACTGCTGGTTTCGGCGCATCGTTATCGCCGATGCCGTGTCCGTGATCTCGACCAACAGCAGGAAACATGTATGGCGGCGGTAGCAGTAAGTCTTGGGCGGGCCCTCTTTTACCCATGTACTGCAGTACTCGCAAGGCAAGCGTTTGGTCCACTCAGAGCTAGTAGGGGTGAAACGTCCGTCCCCGTTTTTTAAGGACAGCTCCATGTTTTTCAAGTAAAACCAGTGTCGTTTGCTCGGTGAACTGTCCTGAAATGTGTTTCCCCCCTGCACATCGTTTTCACATTTTGCGGGGCGCCGTGGTTCTGAAAGAAATGGTGTCCTCAACGCGGGGGGGGGTCCTTAATGATTTGTTAGGCTCTCAAGAATGCCTTGTTAGTACCCTCAAAGTGGGGACGACTGCTGTAGCACCAACCGCGCTAGCTGAACGATGGACCGACGTCTGTGTTAGTGGGAAAGAAAAACGACCTTCCCGGAAGAAGCCAAATTGTTATTCTTAGAACAGGTGACTGACTAGAACGCCGAAAATATCAATATTACCCTCTCTACCAACTCCCTGTGTTCGTGGTTATCCCTCCTATTCTGTACGTCATTATTTCATGTACTGTTAGGGTTTGGGCGCACTACTGTTATGGCGCCGGTCGCACAGGAATTTTTTATTTGGTTTTGTGTAGTTTATCCCTGCCTTCTTCTGAGGTGCCGTGCTTGCGTTTTCATCGAGATAGAGGATTCCGCCCTAAACTTTCCCATAATCGGTGGCGAAGCTCCGCCCCTGCTGTCTGGGCTTGACGCGAGGAAAAAGAAACATGTTCGTGAGACTGCACCGGGACTCAAACTCACCTAGTAGCATACAAGCCTCAGAATTCGAGATCGCCGACCAGATAACTGGGTGGACCGGTGTGTGCTCAAGGTGGCACGTGTCGCGTTTCCTACGTGCACTGAGCTAAAAAAGCATGATGGTTTCCCTCCCTGTGGTGCTGCCGTTCTCCTGTGTGACCCCAGCTAATACGTCGAAGTATGCACCGAAAGGTGTACAGACGGGCGCGCCCGAGTATTCGCGACGAAAACACACAGACGATTAACTTCAGGATACCTCACTGCTTCTCTTCTCCTCTTGATACGGCCTATGTTCACGACGCTACCATGGTTGAAATCTACACCAATCACCCTCCCCTTGTGCACTCGTTAATTGCGCGCTCGCTGCTTGTGTCCTTGGTGCCGCTGTTACCTGCCAGACATGTTCGACCCGAGCGTGTTCGATATCCGCATGGTGATGGGGGTCCTGGCGTGCGTGTCGTTGCTGGCATACGCGATCTTCAGGCTCTTCGTACGCAAGTGAGCCCCCCCCCGCCCCAACAACAGGGTACACGAGAGGCTTGGTTCGCTGTTTATTTGCCGGGTCCTGCGGCGATTGGTCCTACAACCGCGAGTAGTATCTGGGGCGGCTCTCGCCGCCAGTAAGGGGTGCATGAGATGTACCTCCCCCCTACCCTCCCCCCTCGGTTTACGTTGCGCTAGGTGCCCTTGCCGCAGCAGTCTGCTGGTCGCAGGCTTCAGCGGCCCTTGCAGTGGCTGCTTGCTGCCACCCGTTGGTAATTTTTCTTTCGTTTCGGCGGCGTTGGGGCTTGTCTCTGGACAAGCAGTACGTCTTGCACATTTCCCTCTTGTTCTAGGCGCCGTCGGTGCCTGTCACGAGACAAGCACCAGAGATAGGCACCAACGCCTCCTAGTACAAAAGGAAAACGTGCACGACGTACTGCTTGTCCAGAGACAAGCACCAACGCCGCCGAAACGAAAGAAAAATTACCAACGAGTGGCAGCAAGCAGCCACTGCAAGGGCCGCTGAAGCCCGCGACCAGCAGTCTGCTCTGCGGCAATAGCGCACGTATTTTGGGAAATCGAGTTTGAAAATCAGCGGAGGGGGTGTGGTGTCTCGTGTCACCTACGTTACCTCTGCCTGTCTGTGTACCCGTCGACATGGCGGTGGCAAGCTGTTGAGTAGTATTCTGCCGTGGGTCATGCTGCGGATGGGTAGTTCGTTGTGTAGATCGAAAATGGAGGAATTGATCAGTAGTGACATGCGAATGGACGGAGCGACAATCGAGTGTGTACCCCCCACCGGCACCCCCCCCTCTGTATGCTACCGCCTCCCTTGGGGACGTGGTTGGTCTGTTGTGTTTGTCAAGGAAGACCAAGTTTGCGGACATGTAGGGAATCAAAGTACCGTTTGTCTTGCCCCTCTGTGTGGTCTTGTGTGTCGCGGTGATGGTGGCAACGGTTGGCTTGTTGTGGCCGGTAATATTGTGCCAAAATCGAACCTCACTATCAAGCCTTGGTCGGAAGACAATTCAACAAAGGCCAGGCATGTACTTCGAAGTACCAATTTTGATTTCCTGATATTGAAAAAATGCCCTTCCAGGACTTTTGATTTCATTTTAATGTCCTGCCAACCGAACCGATTCTGACTATTAGCTTCTTTCGATGTTGATTGTTGTACCATCGTTATTGCCCGGCTCAGTTAACGAACGTGTAATATCAAACATCCAAAATCACAATCAGTTCCGTTGACCAGAAATGAAAAATGAAACGAAGAGGCCTCGGGTGACACTCTTTTTTCAAAGCCAGGAAATCGAAATTGATATCTGCCTTTGTGTTTTTCGTGTCTTCGACCAATCAGATCTCGTTATTACTCGGCGAGGGTCGTCGAAGAAGCGCTTGTTTCGCAGACCTGAGTTCCAGCTCGTCACACACACACACACACACCCCTCTGTGTAATTTCGCGTGTCGCGGTGGCGGTGGGGACGGTTGGTTTGTTAGGGTTGGCCGGGGAAGACAAAATGTTTCGGACATGTGGGGGGTTGAGATCGTTACTCATTCCCCTCCCCCCCCCCCGCCAACGATGTCGCTGTGTTAGGGTTGTCGGAGAGGACGACTTTTTCGCAGACCTGGGCATCAGCTACAAGGACTTCGACATGCCAGACGAGGTGGATGACTACTATGAGGCGAAGGAGAACCCGGACATCGCTAGTGACGCGTGAGAAGAGAAGAATATAAAAGAGAAGAAAAGAAAAGAGAAACCTGCAATGTCGTCGTGTGCTGCAAGGGAATTCGCCGGCCTTATCCCGAGCACCCGACACTTTTTAGAGCATGAGACAGCTGGAATGTTCGGTTTGCGGCAAGAAAATTTACCAGCCTTGTATCACGAGGACGGCCAGCCTTACTTGTGCGGCCTTATACAAGGATCACTATACTAATACTGCTCCACGCCATAGCGACATGGTCTCCAGGTCACGTTTTCTGATGGCTCTCTTCTCCTCCCCTCATCCTTACTCTCTCATTCCCCTCCTGTTTCTCAGCGGCAAGCTGCGGAATGCGTTGCTGAAGCGAGCAATCGCTGACATCCCCATTATCCTGCGCATGCAGAACGAGGGGCCGGGTATCTACAACATGTACCAGCAGGCTATGATCGGGGAGAAGGAGTGGCACGCCTTCCAAGAGTGAGTAGAAACCCCTCATCACATTTTTCGGAATAAAAACACAGAAGTACAGTAGGTCATGTTCTCCAGAAAAGAAGAAGTGTACCATCAGCAGTAGGTTGTTGGTCATGTTTTTCAGAAGGAAAGAACACAAGTACAGCAGTAGGTCGTTCGTCATGTTTTTCAGAAAAAAAGAACACAACTATTAGTACATGTAAGTGTGTTCTTGTTGCTCTTTAGACTGCTGCTTTTTGAGTGGTTTCGTTTCGGAGATGGATTCCGATCACCACAGAATTGCCTCGCAGGTTAGAGGGACAGTCCCTGTCATGCGCAACGTGTTGCCATTTTCGCTTCTGTGCTCCTCGGGCCCAGAACTAGCTTCTGCATCAGAAGCACGATACACTGCTGCTGTGTAGAGAGCAATTGAGCACGTGCCAGTACAAAGACACACACTTTTTGTTCCAGCAGTAGCGCAAACGTCAGAAGCACGATACACTGCGTATCAAAGTTGAAGCCCTTCGGGTGTAGCAGAGAGCAATTGAGCACGTGCCAGTACGAAGACACACTTTTTGTTTCAGCAGTAGCTCGCACCAGCGGTTACGACGCGCCTCCCTTAATGATGTCACTTCTTCGTGTGATGAACAGCCTTGGCGCGGTATTGTAGCAGCACCACCACCAACCGGCGCTTGCCATGATCCGCATCGCTTCGTCGACAACCTTTTTTTCCCTCCCGCTCTTGCTCGCCGGTATGGTCTGTTTCTGTGCACGCAGGGCGGAAACGATGATCTCGGAAGAAATCGAGTCGGTGCAGAACGAAGCGGACGAGATCGAGCCGGGCTGGAGCCAGTCCATCTGGCCCTTGGCCATGCAGCTCAGGCAAGATTAGGATTGTACAGATGGAGCGCGAAAGAGAGACAGAGATAGATCGGCAGACAGACAGGCACACAGACAGATAGACGGACACGTCGCTTCCTGCAGGAACCGAGGACATATTTCTGCTGCTGTAAACTCGAAGGATCGCGAGCAGGTAAATTTAAGCTGTGGGTTGACCGGAGTTGTACATAGCAGCTTACCAATGTCATCGGCTCTTGCTGGAACGGCCGCAGAATGCTGTTTTTCCTCTCGCCCTCCTCGCGGAACATGCCGGTCATGAGTTCGATAACCGGCATGATCCGGGCTGACGGCGAGATGGAGTACACGATTTTGCGTCGCTTCCTGCAGGAACCGATGATGCATCTTCTCTGCTGCTGTAAACTCGTCAGATGGCCTACAGTTAATGTGTGAGTCGACCGGAGTTGTTGCAGCTTAGCAATGCCATGGACTCCTGCGGGAATGAGCGCAAAATCGTTTACTTGATGGTACCGTCCTCGCCGGTTATCGCATGCCGGTTACGGGTTCGATAACCGGCATGATCCGGGCTGACGGTGATATGAAGTTGACCAGTTTTGCGTCGCTTCTTGCAGGAGCCGATGATGCATCTTCTCCGCTGCTGTAAACTCGTCAGATGGCGTAAAGTTGATGTGTGAGTCGGCCGGAGTTGTTGCAGCTTAGCAATGCCATGGGCTCCTGCGGGAATGGGCGCAAACTTGTTTACTTGATGGTACCGTCCTCACGGATGATGCCGGTTATCGCATGCCGGTTATGGGTTCGATAACCGGCATGATCGGGAGTGACGGTGATACGAAGTATACAAGTTTTGCGTCGCTTCTTGCAGGAGCCGGCAACATATTTTCCGCTGCTGTAAACACATCAGATCGCGGTTGGGTAAATTTGATCTGTGTGTCGACCGGAGTGTTGCTTTACCGTGCTCTCTCCCCTTGAGAAACCCCCAAGTATCGTCTCTCTTTTATTCTGTGAGATGCACCCGTCTACACACCTAATTTTTGTGTTTCGTGAACTTTAATGGCACAATCTGTTTTCACCGGCTCGGTTCGAAGACAGAAAACAAGCATATGTACGTGACGTGATTTTGATGTGGTACAATTTTTAGTGAGTGAAGCGGTTAAGGTCGGACATCTATCGCCGCTATGCGTCCCGCACTGGGAGTGCTCGTGAACTACCGGTAGGAAAAGCCTTCAAGGCAAGCTTGTTCCAGATGCCCTACGCGTTTTCTAGGGACCCCCTGTACGGCGGGGCAACAGGAGCAAGCGAGTTTGGTGCCTCCGCCCGCCGCCTGCTCTTGTCTGGGCTGCCAATTTGTCGGCTCCCGTCGTTGTCGCTCATATTGAGAATGGACGAGGGATTGGCAGGACAGATAAGAGTAGGCGACGGGCGGCGGCACCAAGCTCACTACTCGTGTTGCCCCGCCGTACCGTGGTTCCTATGCACGTCCGAAGACATCTGGGACAAAGAAGCCTACTTGTAGCTCGGCCCATTGTAGCTAGCGGTCTTCGCCCAAAGGTATGATATTGCTATGGAATTGCTGCGGTGAACCCGTGAATTGCACGCACAGGTGTAAACACACAACACCCCGACGATCCTACAATTGTGTAACTATTTTTTTTCTCTCTCTCTGTTGTTTGTCGTTTCGCCAACACGAATGAACACACTTGAATGCAGAACTGTGCTGGTTCAACGAAGGGAGCAAGCAGAGGCAGCGGCAGAGAAGAAGGCAGACGAGGAGGCGGAGGCGGCAGCAGCAAAGAACAACAAGGCCGCGGGGGGAGGGGGTAAGAAGGCGGCCGCATCAGCGACAGCAGCAAAGAAGGCGCCGGCGGCGGCGGCAGCAGCGGCCAAGAAGGATGATGGCAGCGACGACGAAATGCCGGCCATCGACTGAACATCCCGTGTTGTCGTATTCCTAGTTCCTTATCGTGCTCACAATGAGGGTCAGGTGGTAGGTGCCACGTACCACAGCTTTGTGAGGGAGTAATTATGTCAGCTCTGCCTAGAGGGGATATATGGGGTAGGGCCTACGATTTGATACAAACACTACTGGTGGTGGTTGTCGACGCGTTGTCGTGTGTTGTCTTCTGTCGTTTTCGGTTTGTCGTGCGTCTTGCCTAATCTAGTGGTGTAGGCAACCGAGCTGGCCCGATTTTTTGTAAGCGCCAGCTATTGCCGCGCCCTGGTGTCCTACCTCTCACGATCGTGTTCACAATCGATCGCATTCAATGGTATGTATGAGGAAGCGTTTTCTTGTTCACCAAGAAGTCAAGAAGTGTAGACATGAACAGTTGGAAGTAGCAATGCCGTCGACGTCTAGCGATGTCGTGTCCTCGAACTGTCTTCTTTTTCGCGGTCGTGGTCAGGAAGAGTGTAAGAAGGCGGTTTTGTGCCAAGTAGTGTACAGCGGCACCTGTTTTAGAGGGGGCACGCGAACGGTTGGAAATGTCAAGCCGTCGACGACGAGCGTTTCTTTTGATGCAGAGATGTGTCTTCGATACAAGCACATAGGTATATCGTAATGTGTTGGGGTTTGGTCGTGCCCAACCTACTTTAAAAACAGCTGTTGTTACTGTGTGTTGACATGAAGCAAAAAGGTGCCAACTCGCTTAAGGCCACGGGCAAGGAAGAAAAAGTAATGGCAAGGAGAGAAGCAGAACACGATCTTCTCCTGTCACACCGATCGATGTGTGTACACGGCTGGCTACAACTTCCCGGATCGCGTTTTCCGGTCATGAAGGAATGCTCAGATGCGTGCTGGGCCTTTTCTCGAAACCCCAGGCAAGAAACTTGCGGTATTTCTTTGACCTGTTTCTTGCCCTCTGATTGGCAGAGGACTGGTTGGATAGAAGACGTACTGCCCGCTGCCTGGAAATCTCCGAGGGGGTATGTTCAAGTCTTCACAATGAGTTTGAAATCTGCTGGATGAATATTTTTGACACAGTTGAGTCAGTCTCCTTTTGAAGTCCCTACACCGGAGACCAGTGATGATGCTAGTCGGAACTAAGACGACTGCTAGAAGTTTGTTTCCCTTTCTGAAGCCCCGTTAGGGGTTTCAGTGAGATATCTGCATACGGTATGTCGACGAGGTTGGAGATGATGCAGCCAGCATCTCTTGCACGCACGTTCGCCACGCACATGTGTAGCGACAATCGAGCCCGAGGCAAATATGCATACATACATACCATTGTAAGAGCCTGACCATCGCCTCTGGCTAAATAACTCACGTGCAGATTGGAAGAAACAGTCCTTCCATGAGCTGTCTTCCCTGCCGGCGTGTGGTTGGTTGATCTCACAACGCCACTGCCGAGCTAACTTTTCAGTTGTTGTATAGAGCTATGTAGTGAAGAACGCCTCCGTTGAGGACATCGCTAAAAAACAAAGAATGTCTTCGTAGGGGACATACTCCGAAGGATCGATTCCCCAATTGCAAATTGGGGTTTAAGCCAGCACAAGCCCCGGTGGTCTAGTTGGTATCCTCGAAACCTTCTAGAGGTCAGATGAGGGATTCGAATCCCGGCGTAAGCGAGCTTTTATTGCAAAGTGAGTTTTTCTCTCGCTTCCGCTCCTGGCCTAGTGGATAGCGCTAGTTCGTGTGTATACAGAGGGAAGAGAATGCTGAACTCTTCTCGCATTAAAAATCGAAGGCAAAGTACCGCAGGAGGGGATGGTAGAGAGGAGCTCTTCTGTGTGACCACGGGTTGGAGTAAACGGCACTACTAGTGCTGTGAGCGCTGATTTGAAGTGAAGACCAAAAAAAAAAAAAATCCCGAAAAAGGCAATGAAGAAATCTTGTCCGAATTTCGATACTTTAATCAAAATCAAAATGTGATCGAAATCGATACTTTAATCAAGTACTTGTATAATTTAGTATTTTCCTCCTTCGAGACAAGTTCCGACAGGCCCAGAGCTAGCTACTATTGTCGGTGGGCCGCAGCAAGGTGTCGAAGTCGATGTGCGGCTCGTAGTGAGAGACGGCAAGCCGCACTCGTACTTCATCCTCCTTGTGAAGCTTCGGTGTGTAGCTGCAGGGTGGAACAAAGAAACAGACAGCAGCAGGATACAGCACCAAGCGAGGGAGGTCAAAGACATTTAAATGACTCTTAAGCCAGGCCTACGATATGATGCGAGGTCGAAGGCATGGGGAGCAATGACAACAAACATTCCTGAACTCTCTCTCTCCTCAGGTGTTCGTTGGATTATTCAAAGCTCGATTGCTCCACAACCTAGAGGCTGCCAACGCCGACCGACGCGTGCAAGCAAGTAAAGCTCTCGACGAGGTCTTTCCAAAGGTACCCGTCTTGACGTTGGCAGCCTGTTTGTGGTGGAGCAATCGAGTTGCTTCAAACATCGACCGCACACCTACCTGCGCATTCGCCCGCACGTTTTTTGTTCACAGAAAATAGAACGAGAAGAACGAAGAAGAATGAGAGCACCATCATTCTCCTCGCTGCTGACAAAACACCTTTATCCTTCTCTTTCGAGGAGAAACAATGCGTCTATCTCTCTTCCTCTCTACGCTTCCTGAGGTGAAAAACAAGATCGAGGATCCATCTGTTGACTACGGTGAGTGGGCATTGTGTCCTTGGTAGCGAGTGCAGATGTGTCCTTGGTACGTAGATTATTTGACATTTGTAGGGTCCACGGACGCTTGATAGTCTAGACCATCACCGCGGACGACGTCCACGTCGGTCCGTGGACAATTTCCTGGGTCATGACTCGTGCGACTCAAATCCCAGGGACCGCCTTCGGTAGGACGTTTTTTTTAATCTATGATACAGTTTGGGGGGTGTCCCTATCCTATCCCTAACCCCAACCCAACCCAATCCCGTACCCCGTACAAAAACAAAGCTTCATATTCATGCGAAGGCTATTAAAATCCCAGAAAAAGGGATCGCAACCAACCTGTCTGAACTGCTGTTGATTATGCACAACAAGAGGAATCTGCGCGTCTACCTGGTTCGTACTGTCGACTATTAGTCCGCCCGGAGCACAAGCAATCCTGACTATGGCCGATGGTGCCCTATTCACGGCATCGAACACTGATCGCATCCAACGCTGATCGAAAGTAAGTCGTAAATGTGCAACTATTCTCGCCTTCGTATCCGATCCATGGTGTCAAAAGTAGAGAGGTTGCTGACGATGACCGGGATGTCGTGAATCTTAAGGAGTTCCTCCACGTAGTCCATCGGTCGGAGATCTAGACCCGTCAGCACCATGGCCCCGCCAAAGCTGTGCCCACGCTGTTTATCAACATTATCACGTCCCGGAGGCACGTGCAGCAGAGTCCGCAAATAAGAAAGCTCAGTTCGGGGCCACGCGTGCCGGGGCCAGGCTCAAGCTCTTGTTTCATCGCCACCATCGAGCGCAGGTTGTCACCGTAAGGGTGCGAAGGTTGGCACAAGTGTGCGATCGCCCTTCAAAACGTTCAAGACTGGCTTCGCCATCGGACAGGTGTGATGTCTCCGTGCCTGCGCCGTATCTCTCCGGCCCCTCTCTGCCAAATCGAACTAAACGTCGCACTGGCACCATCCCTGCACGCCATCTTAGATACCGACTAATCATCCAATGCCTTCCCGATAATGTTGTGTTCGATACTTGAAACATTTGTCATGTACAACAAGGCGCTCGGAGTGAGTCCGGACTTGGCACCAAAAAACATGTACTACTTCTACAGCATTTGCGAGATACAGTACCTCTTTGGAGTTTCGTGCGTGAGCCAGAAACCCGAGCACGATGTCGTCCCTGGTACAGTGAGTCACCACCAAAGGGTTTGGTGGGGCACATTCCAGCTTCTCGAGGAAAACGTGCAGGTCTGCGGTGATGGTGCAAAAAAAAAAGAAAAGAACGTCCCGTCATCACGAGATGCGGGAAACAAGCAACAAAGATAACCACGAGGGAACGAAAAACGCAAGCTCCCGTCCGTAATCAGGAGATGCGGAAAGAATAAATGACACAGAAGAACCAGGAGAGGACGAACAAAAGAGCACAAGACATCACGAGATGCGGCGGCGGCGGCGGTGCATACATACCGCTGTCCGACTGAACGCACAACCAACAGACGACGTGGAAGCAAACAAGTACAAGAAAAAAACATCGTACCGCCAGAGGTTTTGTACCCAAGAGAATGGCGAAGATAAATATTCGCGCACCAGTGGCCGCTAGATGCGTGTGCTTGATGCTGTAGTGAGGTTGTCTCCTGTTCTCGAACCCCGCCAAGAGCTTCGTCTTGAAGATCTTTTCCAGATCGATCAACGACGGTCGTGCGAGGTACGACTCATCGGGCACAACACCCAGGAGGGGGACATCCCAGCTGCGCAGCGAAAAACGCGGCAACAACCCAGCAAGGGTGTTAGTTCCTTACGACATCGGGAGGGGGGCATCCCAGCTGCGCAGCGGAAACACGACAACAATCCAGGAAGAGGTCAGTTCCAGGAGGGGGGCATCCCAGCTGCGCAGCGAGAAACGCGGCAACAACCCATCATAGGTGTTAAATAGTTGCGCACGACAGGCTCACATATAGTATGGTATGTTATTCTGTTGAGTTCTGTGACGCTTCCACAACCCTGCCCGACACTGGCAATCCCTCCACAAAACACACCGGTTCGAAAGATAGTTCAGGCCGAGATGAGGAGACGCTAGCACACGCTTACTACCTTACACGACGAGTGAAACAAGGAATTCCCCATTGTGGACGATCATCTACAAGACCCTTGAAAAGACAACGGGTTTGGGGCTTCAAACATGCAGACGGACTGAATGACAAGAGAGAGCAAATGTGCTGCCAGTCAAGTTCGTTCCTCGATTGCGTTCCCGTCCGGAATATCCGTCACGTAAGCGCCACATCTCCTCTAATATAGCACACAGTGCGGGCCCGCAGTCTCGAAACAACGCTTAGAGAAACGGAGATTCAGATTTTCACGAAAAAACAAATCGCTGCGTCTTAGATCCACAGCTTAGCCTGAGGATCTTACTCCATTGTAAACTCAATACGATAGCCTGTACTTGACGGTGGTGACGAAATAAGAATTTGAACCTAGATCAGACTTTCCCGTTTCTGCGGGCCCGCACTGCTGTATGTCTCCCACCCCCCTCAACCTCTAGTTTACCATGTCCGGAAGCGTCAAGGAGACCCGAGGAGACAGCAAGAAGTCTTCGAAACACCTCTACAGCATAAAAAAACGAAGCATCATGGCAACAATACAAAGTAATCCTACCCGAGGCACGTAGTAAGAGTCATGGAACGAGATAATACTAGGTGTAGAGCTTCAAAACGTTTCGGCTTCGGGTAGTTAAAATGCAGCCGACGCAAGCCCGGGGCCATGGTTCTCGGGCCGGGTGGCAGTGCCTGGGCCATCGGCACACTGCCCGATTGTCCGGGTGCCCGCCCGGTCCCCAGCGCCCGCGCCGTAGGCGCCAAAACGCGCCCGGCACTGGCTCTTACTATGGGGGCGCCGTCCCGAACCGAAAAAACCTCCTCCTTTTTTCCGGGGCCACTTTCCCGAACAAAAAACAAAGCCTGCACTCGATGACGTGCTCAACCTTCAACCTAGCGCACACAACGCAGCGAACACAGTACCCACCCACATCGTCCCAAGTATCGCACAAAAGTGAAAACATGTCGAGCTAGCTCTCTCGACACAAATAGAAATAGTATACGGCAACGGGCAATAGTCGTCTGCCGGCGCATCCTCTTCCGTCCCTCTTCAGGCTACGGCGGGGTGAAGCTCCTCCTGGAGGGGGGGGGGGGTCGACGAACCCCACCGCGCCCCAGCAATCGCTTGTTGGATTTCTGGGGCGCCGTGGATTCGCCGACAGCCCCCCCCCCAGGAGGCGCTGCACGAAGCCGTAGGCAGAGGAAGGGTGGGGCAGGAGGCAGCAGCGGTGGAAGCAGCAGGGGGGGGATGGAGCATGGCTGGCAGCTTGGGCGGGGGCTGTTGTGTCGATGATGATGCGCCGGTAGACGATTTTCCCCTTGTCGAGAGGTCAAGATGTTTGCACTTTTGCAGTAAATTTACTTTAGAACATCCTTGAGCAAGACTAACGTACTTCCCAAACGCATGGACTAGCAACGACGACAACAGCAGTAGCGAGAATGATGGAGACAGCTTCACCGAGCAATCGTAGTACGTTCGACATAGGCATCGGTTATACACATACCTCTTGAGCAGCTTGCCGAAGTACTCCTTGACCATTTGAAGCTTGCCGGGAACAACCTGAGAGACAAGAGAAACAGAGAAGAGAGTTTTTCATGGTGTGAGAGTCATTGCGCTGAAAGGACATCGTTCCTCAGACAAGGAGAGTCGACGAAGGTCGTGTGTGGCGTTGAAACGCTTCGCATCCAAACAACGTGGAAGGCTGTCTGTGTCAAGAGCCGATAGTTGTAGGCATATGCACACGCTTTCCTTCTTCCTGTGCCTCTTTGGTACCCAATGGTTCACCCAACCAACCTGAGCCACCTCACAACCCTCTTCCATCCCCCACTCACCATCATCACGAATCCCTCACTCAAGCTGAATATCGCTAACCTATCACATCAAGAATCCCTCTCCGCCCCTCCCCTGAAGAGAAATAAATCCGCCCCTCAGTCCTTGCTGCTGAAGTTGAAACTCGCTCAAGCCATCACACCGCGACCCCGGCGCGCGCTCGCGCCCAGAATCACCGCAAAAGACATTTTCCCGCGTCACGAGAGAGACCAGCTTGATACCTTGTTAAGCACGACCCCTCGAACCTTGATGCCGTACTTCTCGCAGATCCCTCTGTTGAGCTCCAGCTCGTCGTATGCGGACCCCAGCCCACCGTTGGCGACCAAGATCATGTCAGCGTTCAGCGCCTTCGCCACCTGAGGTTCCAAGACAGCGGCAGGCAATCACGTTAAGAATAGCGCGTAACGGTATTGAAATGGAGGTCAGTTGATGATGGTGACGATAACGCGTTGGGTGCGTTCGTCACCTCGTGTCCAAGACAGTGGCAATCGCGTTCAAATTGTAGCGGTATCAAATGTAATCTGATGATGACATTGACGATGACGATGATGACAGGGGCATGCGCAACCTCGGGGCTGACGGCTCGAGAACTCTTCCCTTGCAGTTAGAAAAGGTCAATACAGCACCCAAAAAAAACATATCATATTGTAGATATCGTAGATACCGTGGGAGAAGAACGACAAGATCAGTGGCGAAGCTTAGATTCTGATCGGGGTGGTAGGCGGCGCCAATCACCCGACATCTCAGAGTACCCTTGCCCCCTAGACATTTTTTTTTTTTTCTTAATATGACACAACGAATCCATCTCTATCATAGAAAAGAGTCTGAGACAGATTAGCAATGAATTCATAGCGTCAGAAAGTACCTGTATGTCTATGATTTCCCAGACAGCATATAGGGACATCTCCCCTGTGGGTAACAGGCTCAACAAAACAGTTTGGTAGCTGTCTTGTGTGTCTCATACCACTCTGTTCGGGAATATAGTACCGATTTGGCTGTCCGGCAATATAGTACCGATTTGTAGTTTGGGGTGTTCGACACGTTTTTTTAGCATACTTTCCTTTGCGGTATGCTCGGACAAGGTAGAGTGTACGAAATAAACTCATAAACAGGGGATGGATAAGTTTCATCCCCCCATCTGAGACAAAATTCCCCGCATGTGGATCTCCCGAGACAACGGGCAGTAGGTCCCGTTTTTCTCTCGTACGGGCTCAAAAAGATTTGTTTCATGTTTTTTTTTTTGCTTTGTAATCTTGACAGCTTATGCTACCTGTAAACCCATACATTCAAGTACTTCGGTTGCTTCTTTGCTGTCAACCGGTGAAAATACTTTTTTTTGGAAAAGTGAGCAACTTGAGAGGGCAAAGTCAGAGGGAAGATGGGAAAAAAAAAAAAATCGGGAAAAAAAAAACGTTGCCCGGAGTGAGATTCGAACTCACGACCTTCTAATTCTAAGGCGTTTTTGCTAACCATAGCACTGACCCCAAATCGGTACTATATTCCCGAACAGAGTGGGGACATCTCCCCTGTGGGCAACAGGCTCAACAAAACAGTTTGGTAGCTGTCTTGTGTGTCTCATATATGTTAACAAGTTGTCAACGTCCCGAGTGTGAGCGAGTGACCATGTGACCAAGTCGAGGAAGGCCCGAAGCTTAATTTATCCCGCACACACGCGACCTTCTTGGCACGTGTCTTTGATACTGCGTCGCTCGTCAGACCCTGACCTACTTCTAGCAAGAGGGAGGCGTTTCGCAAAAAAAAAAAACACGAAGAAAAAAACCAAAAAAATCATGGCACGCCAGGTTTCGATCCTGGGTCCTCGAGGTTATGAGCCTCGCACGCTACCTCTGCGCCACGTGCCACGTGCTGTTAGGCGGTTACATTTCTGCGGGCTAATCGAGGTCATCTATAAACAATTACTAGTCCGTCTCAAGAAAAACTGTGTCGTTGTACCCTGACTGCTGGGCTTCAGAACGTCCCCTTGACGACGCCAGTCTTGGCACAGGAACGTTTTCGTCGACATCACGAAAAAAAAAAAAAAACGGGATCGAAAGGCAGCAAGCGTGTCGCTCGGAACTTCACCACCGACGGCACTAGATAGACAGCCCCAGCTTTTTTACCAGAGAGCCCCCAGCCCGCTTTGTCGTGCGCGGTTCACTGAAACAGTTCATCGCTAGGCAATACGACAATCCGGTTGAGGGGACTGTTGGAAAAAAAATAAAAGCTCTGTTGAAACGTGGCAAAAACAAAAAACCCTTCGTACGCATACGTTGCAGATACTGGCAGCGATACCCAGCGGAAGAGGCACTGTGTTATGATGGAAATATTGGCTTACTTGAGCACCACTTAGGCTCACTGTCACCACTGCCTTTTGTTTCCCTTCTTCTTGGTCTGGGTTCCATCGTTCTTGCAAGTGTCCGCACTCCTTGCAGCAAGAGCCCGTACCGGTGTCAGACGTCCTCATGACCATTCCTCTTCCAGAAATGGAAGGAGTCCTCGCCTTCGTATCGATGTTGTAAGCAATGGCTGTCTTTTTGAGTCACTCTCGAGGGAGTCGTCCTTGCAGTGCTGTTCCCGGATGAACTGGGACTTCTTTGGAAGAGCGTCAAGAAGCAGAGACTCGGACACCTCATCAGAGATCGCCTCCCCCATACCCTCGAGGCAGGCGGTCGGTGTTCGAGCGTATAGGGGAGGCGATCTCTGATGAGGTGTACGAGTCCTTGCTTCTTAACGTTCTTCCAAAGAAGTCCCAGTTCATCCGGGAACGACACTGCGAGGACGACTCCCTCGACATAGAGGGTCACTCAAAAAGACAGCCGTTGCTTACAACACCGATACGAAGGCGAGGACTCCTTCCATTTCTGGACGAGGGATGGCCATGACGACGTCTGACACCGGCACGGGCTCTTGCTGCAAGGAGTGCGGGCACGGCAAGAACGATGGAACCCAGACCAAGAAGAAGGGAAACAAAAGGCAGTGGTGACGGTCAACCCAAGTGGTGCTCGTGCCACAGAACCAACACGCACGGCGACGACGAGAGAGTGCCATTCAACAGAAAGAGCCCCGGGGACTGGCTGCCAACCTAGCGCTGCTACAGCCTTCCAACAACGTCGGGAGCGCCCACCTGGCACAACACCAGGGATCCGAGCCATCCACTTTGGGGTTCTCCTTCAGCACTATGGGGGAGTCTCTGGCCGAGGCTTCGGCGAACACATCAAAGGACGAGTTACCTTCCACGGAAAAGCAGGACCATCATCTACCTGGCGGCTTTTTCGCCGCGTGTTGACTCTACATCATTCCGCAAATCAACGTTGCATCGTACGATTCGTCTCTGGGGGAGTTACGGTGGCTACCTTCATCAAACGGGATTCTACATCTTGGGCCATCACCGAGAACGAGATCGTACATCTTCAACGTCATCGTTCACGATGAACATCTTCAAGAATTCACACCGTTATCATTAGTTAGAAATATGGTGTTTGTGTGTTTGCTGTCTGTTATTTGTGTGAATCAGGGTACTATTCAGTTGTTAACTTCTCGAATTCGCATCATCGCGGGTTGAATAGTCACCTAGGGTAGGTTGAAATAATACTCTAGTACTTTGGTTTTTGCAGGAAAACAACGACAGTACTCTGCAAGCGCATACAAGCACATTCGCTATGTACCTTAGTGGTTGATGCATCTAATTCATTATTTGTTGCTTTTGCGGTAACTGTCAATGCAACTTTCATTGAGGGGGAGTGATATGGAAATATTGGCGTACGTCCTGTACTAGTCAATGTTCAGTAGTATTTTTTTCTACATCATACCTCGTAGATATCGTATGTTTCGGTTCATAGGTAACGCATCTGTATTCGGGGCAAATAGTGCTGTAGCACCTTCTCTGCTAGAGGGATCGCGTATCGCTTACTCTCACATGGACTGTGGCTTTTAGTTTTCCTGGACATCTCTAGGAACTGCCGTCTTCTGGACTACTGCGTTCTCTGTGGATCTATGTGTCTGTGCGTCTTGGCCAATTTAGCAATTTAGCGCCAGTTTTCAACATATCTTCACGTCTCTACACACTACAAGAAGTATACGCCTACTTCTGGTCTCCAACCACTTGCGGTGAGAGGTACAGCCTTACCCACGTGTCAGGGGTATCTCAGACTGAGGTGAGGAATATATATAGAGAGCACACATCGAGAGAACGGGGGAAAACCACCATAACTATTATAACTCGATCTGCGTTCCCGTGGCATGTAGCCATGATGCGAAGATGGCGCCTTGTTGCGCGTGTCACAGCGGTTACCTGTCTGCCACTACGCGGATATCACTCGAGGTCATCGAAAAAACTTTCAACAACATTGTCCTCACGGCAAACTTTCACTGAGTGTTGGGTCGCATTTGCATATCGCTCGCGCTAGCCAAAAGTAAACAAAAACTGAGGACAAAAATAAAGACGAAACCATCCTCCTGCCGTCATCCCCGCACTTTAGATTACCCGTGGGACAATATCGTGCAACATGGTCAGTACCTGCGCGTTATTGAGGTCTACGACGCTCCCCACTGCCGTGTGTCCTGTACCCTCCAGAACCACCACATCGCTCTCGTCCATCACGTTCTGATTGAAAAAAAAGGGAGTACGAAGAAGAAAAAGTGAAAATATACGAAAACATTCTGTTCGCATGGTGTCGAATCGTTTTTTTTTTTTTTTTTGTCTTCGCTTCAAATCAGCGCTTACGGCACTAGTGCCGTTTACTCCAACCGGTGGCAACACAGAAGAGCCCCTCTCTCCCCTCGCTTCCTGCGGTACTTTGCCTTCGATTTTTAATGCGAGAAGAGTTCAGCACTCTTTTCCCTCTGTGTACGTGTACACACGAACTAGCGCTATCCACTAGGCCAGGAACGGAAGCGAGAGAAAAACTCACTTTGCAAGAAAAGCTCGCTTACGCCGGGATTCGAACCCCTGACCTGACCTCTAGAGGGTTTCGAAGATACCAACCAGACCACCGGGGCGACCGGCAAAAAAATACTCCCACCGGGGTTCGAACCCGGGACCTCGGCTTTATCAGAGCCGCGCTCTGCCAACGGAGCTCTGGGGGCTGTTGGGGCACATCCATTCGACCATGGCGTTTCTGAAAAGAACATCGTGGTCTGTTAATACCTCGGAGGAGCTCTTATCTGATGTCACGTCACCATTTGTTGCGTGCCCCAGCCACCCGACAATTAAACAGCGTTTACAAACAAGAGGGCATCGATAGTCGTTGGATTGACACAACTCACACCCGAGACCTGCGAAACATCAAAGTTGTATTCCATGGATGGCAGCAGTGCCCTACGATGTCTTGATCAAACGAAGCATATTGGTGGTGGTAGGCAAAGCCTTTTTTTTTTTTAATATTTATTGTGTGTCACGGCTGCGTGCATTGTCGAAAACCCCAACAACAGAGCATCACACGGGTTGAGCCGACAAACTCCGCACACCAATGCAACAGCACAGCCATGCCCGAGCATCATGCTCGATGCAGCATAATTCTATTCTTGGAATATTTTCACTTAAATCGTTGTAATTATCAGGCGCTCCGGCGCAATTCATTTGGGATGGGAATTTGTAAAATGGGTTTTACCAGCACTGTCATTTCTGGTGTCACAACGAAATTCACCGTGGTTTCATCGAGCTGTGACACAACTGTACCTGGGACAGATGATGCAAAACCCACTTTTCTCGACCTGACAAAAGATTCGTGTCTTCATATCCTAACTCACTCCTCAAGCCTTCTACAAGAGACGAAAATCGTACTTTTCCCTTGGTATCCATGAGCAGAACCCAAAGAACACAGTAGTAGAACTCGCAATCCACGCCCTGTGCTGTAGCGGTGCCGACCCCAGAAGACCATAACCAACAGAATACAGCACTAGAGGAACTCGCGATCCGCGCTCTACGTCGTGGCCGTGCACGTTTCGACCTCCCTTGCGTGGTGGTGTCCTCAATGACACCTATGTACCTGGAACGCTGTGTGCACGTCTTTGAGCTGGTCCCCGGCCGTGATCTTGCCGTCGATGTAGTCCCTCGTATAGCCGGCCGGGATCAGCACCGGACTCATGTCCTCGTACCGACACTTGAGATCGAAAAACTCCTTCATCAAGCTCACATCCTGATCGGTAAATGGTTATTTATTTGTCAGTCTCGCGCGGTGAATTTCGCGTTTGGTGGCTTTCATTCGTTTCAAGAGCACAGTTACAGTTTAGTAGAAAGCTTGGGCTCGATGGGCTAACAGGGTAAGATAAAGAAGAGGAAACGGTTCTGTGGCCAAACGTTAAGTTACACATGGTACGACAGCGTTTCTAACCCGAGTGGTCTGCCGTCGTTGTGCGAGTTATCGCACCCCCGCCACACCGACCGTCATCGGGCTCGTGTGGACTCTTCAGCTGCGGCGGTTACGGGTCCGTTCGATGGGCTATTGGTCAAGTAAGGTTTGCAAGTCACATTTCCTGCCTCCACTTGTGGGTAGACTGCCGTTTATTCTCGATACAAAGCGTGGACCGTGCTCATTGGCTACCCTAGCCAGCACTGTAACCGGTGGGAAATGGTATGAACTTCTTGGTGTGAGATCGCACGAACTCTCTGAAGAGTAAGGGTTTATTGCTTCCACGAACCTCATCAAGCGGTATTCAACAATATCTACTTTGTAGCAAGGCCGAGGAACAGGTCGTCGCATGAAAAACGCTGAGATAACACCTTTGCCTCAGCCACAACAGCTGCTGAGGAGCAGCAGAAGACAGCTCTCACGATAAGCTATAACAGCTGGTCGGGCTCATGTCCAGAACGTAGGACAGTAACGAGGCGCAGGGGGAGTCCAGTGGAATGCCTCGTCTTTGTGTGTATGTTATTTTCGTCCTATCTAACTGTTTTGGAGACAGTCCTCTCATTTTTCGTGGTTAACGGGTTAAATGGGTAATTCGCCGGAAATATGCCTGTTTTGGCTCGGGGTTGCGAAACAAGACCCGTTGCTCACAAACAGCAAGATCACGGGTAAACCGCGAATCCGCTTGAATTTCAATGCTTGCAGCCACCACTGGCGAAGCGAGTACAGTCGGGTCGCCGCGTCGCCGCCATCGTCGCATGTCTTTGATGATGAAGACGGGGACCATGAGGGTAAGCGTTCTCCCGCGGACCCTGACCACACACCCGTTGGTCGGAATCTCACGTTGATGGAGGTTCCTCTCCTTTACGGGGAAGGACAACTTCGACCAAATTTGCAACTAACACCAAGGCCTACGCAGGGCTCCACGGCTTGGAAATCATGTATAAGGACATCGATCCAGGTTGGGGCCGACAACAGAGAGCCTCTAATCGCCGAGTGGAACATCGCCCATGATGTTCGACAGGCAGCTGGCCGACCTGGGTGTGTTCTGTCTCAAGCTCTTGCAAAGTCACGAATCTACGAAGCCATTAAGTTCCGCCGCAGTTCTTCTCCGGGAAGGCATTGGGAGGGGATCATCACGACATTTTCGACCTACTGGCAGTTGAGAAATTTGAATGAAGACAGTATGCTACTGCGATGTCGGCAAAACTGATATTCGTTTTCAGAAAACGAGACGGACCATCTCCACGGGGTCATCAGCTTTGCCGAAAACGAAGTAGTACATAGCGCCGTCATGCAGCGTCTCCTCTGCCCGTTTGTCTGTGGTCGTGATGATCCCCTCCCAACAACTTGTCGGAGATGGACTGCAGCAGGACCTAGCTTCGTCGATGCTCGATAGCAAGATTTTGATAGAACACGCCCAGGCCGCCAGTTGCCTGTCGTGCGTCTTGGGGGCGATACTCCCTTGGCAATAAGTGACTCCCTGTTAATGCCATCGCTCCAACTCCCATGTCAGGATTGATGCAATAAAGGGTGGCTGCAAAGCCGTGAAGCTTTGCATAGGCCCTGGCGTTTGCTACAAATTGGCCGAAGTTGTCGTTTCCCATTTAACGAGAGGCACCCCCGTCGTAGCACCGAAGTTAAGATGTCGCCCTAGCAGACAGTGGGGCGTGTGGTCAGCTTCCGTGGGAGCACGCTACTAACCCATGCGGTTCTCGCCTTCATCGGCGACGGTGTCCGACGTTGTCGATGACGCGGCTTACTCGCTTCACCAGTGGTGTCTGGCGCCTGCTGCGCCGGACTCCCCCGTGCTGCAGGAACTACTGTTTGGGGTGAGATCGTTCACAACTAAGACGATGCGTTCTTTCCTGAGACTCTTGTATTCTTCCATGATTTGAGCCTTCTCTACCTCTTAACGTAATATTTCGTAATCGCGGGCCCGTATTGTACAAGGCACAAAAGCTGCTGCTAGTTTTCTTCTCTCGCCTTATCGACAAGCACGCCGCCCGCTGTCCGCTCGTGCTGCTGTCCTACGGGTTTGATGAACCCCACGTTCTTAAAGCGCTTCTTGAGCCCGGAGATCAAGCCCAGGCTGACCGTGGTCTTGCCCACGTGCTGCCTGATTTGTTGTTGTTGTTGTTGGCGGTGTTAATGGCTTGTGTGTTAGCGACTCTAACCCGGTAGCCGAATGATGTGAGAGTGGAGCCCCCCGGGGGCTCGAAGCATTAGACTATTATATAGTCCGGGCTACAGCAGTAGTAGTTTTTTGGCTTTTTGTTGCTGATTTTGTCCGGCACTTACTTGTAGACTACAGCAGAAACTACATTGTGCACTTTGAAGTACTTTTAGCATGCCGCACAACAAGGGCAAAAACAGGTTTCGCGTGATTGTGCTCATTTACGGATGATACAAGGGGCTACCCAGCAAAAGCAAACCCTCGAAGCAACCGTGTACAGCCAGGATACATGTATTGTACCCACCGCTGTACACAGCCGACACAGACCGGCAACCGGAGCTGCAAAAAATCCAAGGAGCAGGATCAGCAGCAGTTACATGTACATTTTTTCGATAGAGCGTTTTGTCATCCTCCTTATGGAGACAGCAGCTGCAAAGACACCCGCAAGGGGGCTGATCCTGACAGCTGAACGCGTGCATACAAGCCATGCTTGCTTTCCAAAAGGATACGGTCATGGACGCCGCTACAGCAGGGTAGACTGCGGTGTACAGCAGTAGACATGACTTGCATTACATGTACCGAGTTTCAACCAACACCTTCAACTGGCTCTCTCAAACTCCAAACTCTGGTTCGAGAGGTCAGACATGGTCGTCAGTCACCCTCACCTGGTCGCTGCAACGAACAGCACCTTTTTACCGGCATTGTTCATCTATGTCAACGGAGAAACGGCAGCGCAGCAGTGCCTGTTGAATCGGCGCGTGCACGAGAGGGATACCCAGCACCCCGGACCCGTCAGACAGGACTATACGGACCGCCTGCGCATAGGAGGTGTAAGAAAATGCATCCGCGGCGCCCCTTCTCGATTCAGAGAGTTGTGCCACACACAGCAGTCTGTCCGTTGCTGTTGTCTTCTGTACTTGCTGCAGCGGAGAGCCGAGCGTATAGCCCGACCTCTCTGGAAAATACTGCTGTGCTGACGTCCAGAGGAGGCGACGAAAACCACGACGTTGAAGACGAGCGCTGCTCAGGCTGCTGACCCATCTCCATGGGATCTTTGATCGATCAGACGGAGGCCGCTCTCGCCAGAGTGCTGAGCTTGTGCAGCAGCGGTCCCGTCGGGGAGCAGGACGTAGATGCTCTCCAACGCCATGATGAGGCAGCACTGGCGTTGCTTGATATCAACGACGATGATGCCATCAAGGTGGGGGGGTTGTGATGGAAGAGATGTGGAGCAAACAAACGCAACGTGCACCGACAGCAGTAGCATGTCCCCGAAGATTTGTGAAGGGCGTGTGTCTCTTTCAATCGCCCGCAGGCAGAGGGTCACAAGGCAACACAATGCAACCTTCTAAAGCTGAAAGCACCTCACAGAATAGAGCTTGATGGACGGCCGTGTTGGGTCTCAGGTTCTGTACCGCTCTTTGTCGGAACATAGTGGAAGTCCGTACAGCGCTCTCTCTTCAAAACTTGACAACTTGACAAAATTGCACAATTGCCGTTGGTGCTTTTTCTTCGAACCCCCATTTTCGCTGCGGAGCCAGCAAATTTCCCGGCAGAGACTACAATGAGGTAATCACCAACGTGACCAACACTTGCCACAACGCCCACGACCGTCGACAGCACTTTGCCTACTTCTGATGTGGTTTTATACACACAACACCCCTTTTGAAAGTTACAGAACATGACAACAGAGGAAGCGACCCGTGTTCACCCGCTTGAAGCTCATGTTGTACAGCACACGCTTGTTCCAATTCTCACAGCAGCAGTTTGTTTGATGCAACTCCGGTATTGTACGCGTAGTACGAGTGTCGTCTCAGCTGCTCAAGTATGTGCACACTATCATGGTTCTGAGCTTGCAAGGCAGCAGGAATTGTGCTACACCGAGAGGTTATCTTTGACGGGGGTGCCAGGCACTAGCGTTGCTTCTGCTGCTCGGCAACGGCAACGGCAACAGCTGCGGTTTGTTCGTAAACTCGGTAGTTTTTTTTTTGTCCATGAAGCGGTCACAGCCCTATCACATCACTGAGTTGTAGCTACGTTCGGGTTTCCATATGTGTGGAGAGGCGACGATCCAGAATCACGCAGAAGAGCGTTCTCCCGAGATCCATGCTGCGCGTCTCTCTACGGCCCTCGAAAAAAACACCACACTATTTTGGTGTATCACAAGGACGCGCGCTCTCAGAACCACCGTCACCAACCCAGGTATTAATAGTTGATTCCACGGTTTCGAACATCCGAAGGGTTCGAAGATGGATGCCTTTACGGTTCTGGGGCGACCCAAGCGGTAGCAGCTACCACTGTTGTGTGTGAACAATGCTGTGAATCTTGGCTTCCAGAGCTATCGGTAGCTGAGCAACCAAGGGTCTACGTAAGAACCGGGCGGCACCCAATCAACTTCCCGTCTACAGGCAAACGCGATTCTCCGTGTGGTGCACTCTCTCAACAAGCCCACCGCTGCCGCCGATGTTTTGTCTCAGGCGCTTGGGCCGTGGATCAAGTGCCTGGAGGCATGGTCCCGGAAGACCAATGCCGCCCAAGGGGGAGAGGAAGGACCCTGGACTACCGTTACCCAACCCTGCACGGCCGTCCTCTCGAGAGCCGACCCCTCGTCGGAGACGCCGCCGCCGCCCCCTGGAACTCCCCCCCTCGCCGCCCACAAGGCTCTAACCGTCATCCTTTTCCGGGTGATGCTCCTAGGGGAGGAAACGGAGGGGTCCCCCCACCGCAACCCCTCCCCGGCGGCGTGGGCGGCCGCTCGCGCCTACCTCCTCATGCTCTCGCTCCCCGGCGCAGCGCCGTACGGCGTGCTGCAGTCCGCGGTGCTGGGAATGGTGCTCACCAACCTCCGCTCCTGGTGCCGCAACTCCGGCGTCTACCGTCCCGGAGGGGGGGGGGCTCCGGGAGTGGAAGGGGGCGGGGTGGGGAGGAAGAAGGGCCCCCAGAAGCGCAGGCGGGGGAAAGACGCCGAGGAAGGCGAGGATGGCGACAGCAGTGACGGCGGCGACGAGGCGGGGCCCCGCGGAGTGGGGCGGTGCGCGGCCGGGGGTGGTGGGAGATGGTCTGGCGGAGAGGTGCTCGCGTGTCTTGAGCTGCTCAAGTCCTGCCTCGCTTGCGTGCCGCTGGAGTCCCACCAGGTTAGGTGCTGGTGCTTCGCATTGGTTGGGCGACTTCCAGCCCTGTTGTTGAAGGTGGTCGACGCTTTGAAATCATCGCTCTTTGGTTCTACGTGCCCACAATTTAGACCTTTGCCAATGGTGCACTGAAGGTAGACCGTCGGGGGGAACAGGAAGCGGCATACACCCCTTACTGCCGTTCCGCGCTATTCCGTTGACGACAAATGAATTATATTGGCCTTTGGGCTGTTGAATTAAGAGGACCTTTGCTCGATACGGAAAATTTTTCAATAAGAAGGTTTCAGACGTGATTGCACTCTTTGAAACAGTACCCGTCCTTTTCGTAGATTTGTCCTGTAGTCGATGGTTTCTTGGCCAAACGCTCAAGAGTGTTCATGGAACAGCTCCTGGCCAGAAATGTGTTGCGAACATTCTATTTCGGCAGCAGACCGACTTTATCGGGGCCCTCTGCTTTTCGTTTGATCGTTTTGGCAGAAGAAATTGCTTGCATTACACCGCCCTGACAAATCATCTTCGAGAGCGGGGAAATACCGCCTCTCCCTGGTTAGTTCACGCCAGGTTGTTGAGGAAAAATTCCAGTCGTTTGGGGGTCGCCGGAAGGTTCATTAACCCCGCGGAACATATCTACACAGAGGCGAAAATCATGGCAAGAGTTCTCCCTTGAACGACAAGCATGTGAGCATCCTCCCCTTAGGGAGCGAGCATGTAATTACCCTCCTCTCCCCGCCTGCCCTCGTGCTCACTTGTTTTCGTTATTTTAGGAATTGGTGGTTAAGCTTAGCGAGGTTCTGGTCGGTGTGTCGGTCGTCGCCGCCATCGAGGGGCCTGCCTCCCTGGCCGACCTGGCCTCGGCAAGCATGGTCGGCCTCGTGACTGGGGCTTCGGGCCACACGGAGGTCGTCCAAGGAGTCGTGCTGCAGGCGCTGATGCCGGTGATCCTCATGACTACGGGAAAAGCAGACGTTCCCCCGAGGTAAGCGAAACTCAATCGGTTTATAACCCGAACCCTTGGTACTTCGGTTTGGCTTGCTTCCTCTAGAGAAAAGTTCACTAATAAATCCGTTGGTGGTTGGGCGCTCTGCGTAGTTCGTTGGGCGTACAATTGTACAGATTTCGGAGGTAATCAAGTTGTCAGTCTTTTCTTCGTTGGGTGCTTTGATACTGGGCAACACAAGATTCGATGACGGAATGTCCCATCGATGGCCACGTCTAACCTAATGTCGTGCCTCCTGCTACTTGGCGACCCTCTCAGGAGCCGGGATTGCGTCAAGGCTCACAACAGCGCCATCGACACCGCCAAGGCAATCGCCGCTGCTCTCAGAAACGCCGCCACGAAAAACGGCTACAAAACCCGGGGGGGGACGCCAAGCACCCCCGGGCAATCCACCGACGTGCTTTCCGAAGGCGGCCTAGCATCGCAATCGCCCTCGGCCACGACTCCGGCGGGAGGGGGGGATGATACCTCCGCGTCCCCTACCGGGGATGATTCGAGTGTATCCCCTGGTGGAGGGCCTGTTGTGGTGGTCGGGAAGAAAGGAGACGGTGATGGGCAAACCGGCACTGGCGGAGATGGTGGCAAACCCGTCTTGACCCTGTTGCAGCATCTGTGCGTGTCTTCGCCCGAGCGGGCGGAGGGCAGGGCGAGGCTCGCGGAAGGGTTGGCGGCGTTGCTGCCGGAGCTGGAGGAGCCCGACCGTGTTCGCTTCGTGGTTTTCCTGGCCAAGGTGTGCTGCTGCTGCTGCTGCTGTTATTATTGTTGTTGTTGTTGGTGGTGTGTTGTGCTGCTGCTGCTGCTGCTGCTGCTGCTGCTGCTGCTGCTGAAGTTATTGTTGCTGGGGCTGTTGTTGTTTTTGGTGGTGTTACTGCCGTCTTTATGCTCTTCTTCGTCGTTGTTGTTTTTAAGTTTTTTATTTTTGCGAATATGAATCAACTGCAGATACTGCTGCTGTTAGGAGTGGGCGGGTGTCTCGCTTGTCTCCACGGGACGGCAGTTGTAGTTGAAATCAGTTGATTGCGCATTGGTTGTTTCCCGCAGCTCAAGAACTAGTTGCTGCCCGCAAACGGTGCTCTCGAAGTTAGCGTTGGTAAAGCTGGCTATTCATGACCACCACACCAACCTAATCGAGTCTCGTCGTCGACGACTACTACAACCGGAACCCTTCCCCGACTCGTACACGAAACCAGCTTTCGCGCAGCGCCAAGATCGTGCACCGCGGGTTCTCCGTAGAACTGTCGTCTCGCCTTCTCACGGAGGACTGGCCTTGGGCTACCGACGACAGCAGTAGCGCCGATGGCAGCGGTGAAGGAGCGGCTGTTTCGACGCCGCGCGCTAACGGGGATGCCGACGGCCCGTCCCCGTGTTTGACGGATGGAGGCGGTAGGACGATGCTCGATCTGGTGGTTGCAAGGGCGGCAGACACGGCTCCGACGGTTAGGTGAGGACGAGGAAACTGAAAAGCTGTTCAGAATAATTAGTTTTGTTTCTGGCGATGTACTTCTCGACTTTCTTCTTTTTGTCGAGTACGAGTACGGCCATTTTTGTGCGCTGTTTAATGTACTGTGTTTTTTGACGATGTATTCCCTATTATGATTTTGATTTTTTGTCGAGGACGAGTGCGGCCCTTGTAGTGAAGTACATCGGGATCGACTCTTGCTTCATTCTGATGGCGTGCGTGTGATCATCTTTGACTGCGGTTGACGTTCCACGAAGAACAGCTGCATCATCACGGAATCCCTCCAGCACCCTCGGTCGCTTGACGTTTTACTCAACACTTGCACATGCCTCCTTCTTTCAGCGTTTTTTTTTTCAATATCTTTGGCTGTGTGTGGTTGACAGGTCGAAAGCGGCGTCGACTCTCTCAGAAGTCCTCTCGGGAATCCAGGGGCGCCGCAGCGGGTACAAGGGGGGGGCGTTCCAACAGGCGGTGATGGAGGCGTGCGGGTGGGGGGAAGCGGGGATGGAACGGCGTCACGACGGGCCTCTGCTCGAGACCATCCGTACCAGAGTCGAGGTGTGTATGAATTTGCATTTTTATATCGTTTTGTTTCAAGCTGACAGCAGTGTTGATGCCACGTTCGATTTATTTTGGATTTCATTGTGGGTACCACGATACTGCTGTCCTAGTTTGTGTTGTTACGATATTTTTTCGTATTTTTTTTTCAGCAGAAAACTCGCACATACAAGAACCCTAGATTCGTTCGATAGCTGTGACCCTCTGCACGCTATTCCTCACTTGTTTCCTCGCGGCGAAATACGCCGACCCTGTTTGTGTCCGTCTTCAACCCTTCGTCAACGTAGACGAGTCAGTTGTGAACAAAGGAGGACATCGTCCTCGGTAGATGTTCGGCAGATGGGGACCTTGGAAGACGGTGAGCTCCATATTGTCTCGTCGTCGACCCCACTACTGTGAAAAAAGAAGAAATCAATCGTTCTCGGCAGACGTTGGGGAGATGAGGACCTTTTGTAAAACGTCACCTCCACATATGTATTCAACCGCGGGCTCTTTTCGATTTTTTTTTGGATCGTCAACAACAGGACGAAAAGGCGAACGTTCGGAGGAATGCGGTGCCGGCGCTGGAGGCTATCCTTAAGCTTTCTCCTGCCTTTTCGGGCGGTCGGGCATCCGCGGACGGCGGTGAGGCTGCGATCGGGAAGGAGCACGAGGCCGACTTCGAGCTCCTGCAGGAGAGGTGCAACGACATGTCGCTCTCCACCCGCAAGGTAATAACAGGACTGGTTTACGCCAGCAGCTGCTTTGGACGGGCAGACAACGCACACCTGGAGGCACGGCGGGGTGTTTGCGTAGGATACCACACCCCCTGGACCTATTTTTAAATCTGGGTTGCTCCACGACGAAGAGTGCGCCAGGATCGAATTATGCTTGTGCGGAACGCTTGCTTTCTCGACGAAACGGCTCCAGCGCCGCCGCTCTTGGCACCGTCATCTTGTTTTTGTGGCACACTATTCGAGATTTTAGACTTGGTTCAGGGGATGTGGTATCTTGCGTATGCAACCTGCGAAGATGTACTGCTGTATGATGCAGCGGTGGCCGCTAGGCGTACAAACGCACGCGTACCGTATGTATGCAGTGTCAAGCTGTGTTGGTTGTTCGATCCTTTGCTGATTGCATTGATTTGGCGCAGTTGTTCGTGCCGTCGACGTCGCCTAGGCGTGAGCGCATGTCGCATACTTCCACGCACGCACGAAGGCGTACTAAGGCTGTGCGTGACCTTAACCTGACCACCCCTGCCTGTTTTCCTGCTTCAAAACGGCCATTGCCCTAGTCTCACCAACAACCTGCACCGTATCCATTCATGTACATTGGCAACCTGTCGAACATTTCAGGCGGCCATGGGGGCACTATCTTCGCTTCTCATGCTGAGGCCGTCGGACGAGTCGCTACAGAAGGCCTGGGTGTCGTCCGTTCTTCCACTCGCGGGGGACCCCGAGCAAACCTGTCAGGTACAACACTACCTTATACTGCTGTAGTACTACGCAAGATAACACACTCACGTTAGATAGCACCCCCCGTCCCCCATACAAGACCTGCACCCAGCGGTGTTAATTTTACGAGTGACTAGGAGCCCAACACGTAAACCTGCTCTCTGATCAAGTAATAGGGCGACTAATGCACCGCAATACCGCATCCTCTGACGGAACAATGTACCGGGTGCTTGCTTCATGGAAGCCATAATATTGCAGAATGGCGGGGTACTGACAATAGTTGCGTTGGGTGCTTGGCTACCGACCGATACACGCACGAGGTTTTTCGAGTAATCTACGATCGATAGTAGAGGATTTGCACATGACAGCTGGTCCATAACCTGCTGCTTCTACAACGACTATTCCACAGATTCTATTCCTCGGCCACTACAAACCAGTATGATTCGATCAGTTACCCGGATCATGCTTGGGTCCCCTCAGAGCCCCCCCCCTACACTAGCTCTACCTGCCTACTTGCCGATGATGTGGTACTCTTTCCTGTTGGATATCTGAACCGGCAGCAGTTGGACCGCGTTTCCTGTCCGATCTTTCCGTCAGGCCGGTTTATTGTCGGTAACCCCTCCTGCCCACGCTCTTGCTCAAGCTGCTTTTCTTCATTACCTCGCTGTTCGTTGTCACTACTGATATATTGTCCTCCCCCTAGCGCGATCGCCTCTCTTCTGAACAAACTCATTGGTCAACCATGTTTTTTTGTTTCTTCTCTTTGTCAGAACCGATTGGTCGAGATCGTCCGGACGGTATTGATCGACCGTGTGGTGGAATGGCACAAAACAGAAGCCGACACGGGAAAGAATAAGGGCAAGGGGGGCAGCAGCAGCAGCAGCAGCAGGCCTACCAGGGGTGTGAGCACCAGTGTTAACGATGATGGTGGGGCGGGAGAAGAACGGGCTGGGGCGGCGGCGGGAGAGACTAACGCCGGAGGGGTTTCCAGTGTGTGGCCGCTGCTGGCTAAGGCTGGGCAGGGGGGAGCCCACAAGTGTCTCAAGAAGGTGAGGGGTGGGGGCTACGTGCATGCATACTGTATGGTGGTGGGGTTGGTCTTGCTTTCGATTCCTCATTGTGTTTGCATGCTTTTTATTCTGTAATATCTGGGCCTCAGTTCTAATCCTATCTCACACTATTGACGCCCTCTCTCTGTCTTATTACTCAATATGCGTGTCTTATGGCCTACCTGTACCTTGACAGGAACAGTTTTTGGAAAGGCTGCTGTGTTGTTTTGTTCAGGCGGTGTTCGGGGCTTTCGACAGGGTAATTTGGTGCTGACGCTGCGATACACGCATACTAGTCGTTATTTTTCGAACATGGACCTATTGTTTCGAGATGGTTTACATGGCTTCTGCCATTTTCACTTCCATGTGGTGAAAACTGTTAAATGCGTGGTTGTTTTTTTAATCGCGATTTATCCTGCATCTCATGATTGGCTCTGGCCGTTGCTATTTTGCGGAGAGAGTGTCGGCCAGAGCGCTGCACATGCTAAAAATAGGTTGACCCGAGCCGTATACTATTAGCAATACAATACGAAGAGTTTGGGCTTCTTGATAACGAACGCGTTTGCACTTAAAGGTAGCAGCGTTGGTGTCGAAAGTGGTGCACTTTAACATAGGGTTGATACGCATCAAAGCTGCATTTTGCGGAGATCACGTCCGTAAAGGGTACCATCTCGCCACCGATTGTCGAGGATGATTGACCCCCTATTTTCTTCCCATGGTTGTCGACACGTTTCTAAGGATCGGTTACTACTTTGAATGAGTCCGCAATAATCCTACAGTGCCCTTCCAAGCTTTGCCTGAAAGCCATATTTCCACGATACAGCAGTATTTGAAAACATGCTGGCGACCACAGAAAGAAAGGCCGCGTACCTACCCATTTGTCCTGTATTTTTATCAGGCGGTGTCGACGCTGATGCAGCAGAATGGCTCCACGGGATTCAAGGCTGCACCTATCCTGAGGGCTCTTCGTGCAGCTGCCGTCATGGCCCTCCCGCCCAAAACATCGCAAGATTCAGTAGCAGCAGCAGCAGCAGCAGCAGACGTCGCGACCGGTGTCGATGTTGGTGGAGAGCAGAACGACCAGGAGGGCGCGAAGGAGGTACAGAAGGAGGTATGTGCGATTAGGATGCGAGAGGATGGACCAATCACAATCGACCATCGGTTGTATGTGATCCGTTTGCGTTGTACGCAGGAGTGCGTTCGTTTTCTTGTCATGTCATTCCTCTTATTCTACAAGTGTGCCTTCAAACCAAACAATGTCTGGGCTTGGTCTGTTATGTTGTTCGCCCTGCTCTGTTGAAGTTTGACGTTTTTGTGATTGAAACGAGTTTGCAAGGCCACATGGAGAAGGAACCGATGTTCGGCTGGACCGAAACAAGCGCTTCTTGGGTTAACAGGTAGTATTGTAACATCATTTTTTTTTGCGGCATGCTTCTAGTACTTTTATCAGGCTGATAAAGTTTCTTCCCGCAGATGAAACATTCAAGTCGTCTCATCCTCTGAATAGTGTCGGGCGCTCGGTGTAAGGCCGGCCAATTCTCTTGGCACTATGTGGCCTTGTAAATGGGGTACCTTACGTACTGTAGGCCACTTCCACTCCCATGAGGCTGCAGCACACTGCAATAGTTTCACAGCCAGCTGCCGTTCTGTTCTTTGCCCTTACCCTCTTCTCTTGGCGTGTTTCCAGGAGAGCTGGACGGTGGAAGACATGCGGCTCATCTCTCTCGCGGAGAAACTGCCTCGAGCGTCCCTCACCACGATCCGGAGGGGAACGTGGGTGCTGTTGGAGGCGTTCCTTGACCGGGCCCCTTCCGCAGGAGACAGGTAACAACTTGCTCTTCACCAAGTGTTCAGCATCGATGTCTTTGTTTTAGTGTCGTTGCCGCAGACTTAATAAACTGTGAGTTTTTTTTTTTGAAACAGAAGAATTAGGAACATAGACCAACCGCAGGTGGTACGTTTTTTTTTTTTTGTTCTTCGTTTGTCAATAATCCTTATGTGTGTGCATGTATATCCATACCGACAAACGATGGAACATTACTCCGAGAGAAGTGGGTCATTCCAAGACGGAAGTGGGGCACCACCCAAAACTACCTGGGTGTTACTCTATGTAGCGAGCCCGAAAGGAAATCATGACCCTCGCTTGATTGTGCCGGTTTCACGCAGTTCGGGGAAGGAGCAGCAGCAGCAGCACTTCGACATGGACCCTATGTTCGTGGTGCGGTGCTGGAATCGCATCAGGGTTCACATCCTGGAGGAGGCGTTGTCAGGTGAATTGCAATGGTACCGTCCTTTGCCGCTTCGTGATCCCCTTTGGTTCTTCCCTGCGGCCTGCAGTGTCCCGTTCGTTCGTTTTATCGACGGCCAACTTATTCTTGCACGCTATTTCATGATGAGTTAACTGGCCCTCAGCTGGAAAGCCATAACGTCAGTAGCGATATGTATTTTCACTATGTGCCTTCTCCATCCAGTAGCTTTCCCAGGGTTTTTCCATTAAGGAGGCGTGTTGGATAAAGCATGAAATCGGGGGAGTTGGGTTAGGATTAGAGTTAGGGATAGGGTCTACGTACCCCCTCCCAATTCTAATTCCTCACTAAATAACTTGACTTCTCGCGAAGGCAGACCTATCCATCCCTGTGTTACGCCGCACGTTATCGACACTTCACCCGTGGCACGAAACGCTCCCACCACCAGGACCCGGGGACGCTAACGTTTCATCCCCTGGTTCCGGGGAGGCGTTCGAGGCGGACGGGCGGCGAGTTCTCGGCGTCCTCGCCCGTCTTGCTGGGTCCGTGCCGCCGGACGTGGCCATGCCGCTAGCCGAAAGCCTGCTGGAGATGCTGCAGGACCTGGTGGCCACCCCGGAGACCTCGGCCGCTTTGGTGGCGGCCCTGCACATGCTCTGCTTCGCTCAGGTTAGTCAGTTTCAGCGATCTACTTTTTTCGGTTGTCTCCGCTCTAAGTGAGAGTGGACCTTGTCAGACCACTATTCCGTCGAAAATCGAAAATCGAAAATCGAAAATGTCACTGATTGGACAGAGCTCCAGTGTTCCGCCGCCGGTTTTTCATTTTTCGTTTTTTCGATCTGGGGGTAAGTGTTCCGAATATTCTCCGATATGGTAAAATCAAAAGCGAGCACGAACAGACTCGAAATCGAAAATCGAAAATCGAAAATGCCAACAGGAACATCAAGCTGGCTGCCACACCCTCACAGAATCGTACTTCATGCCTCCATTTCGATACTCGTCTAGCCACCTACAGACCGACCGCTTGGCGATGCGAGCAAGAGCTTGACAGAACGCTGACATCGAGCAGAGCACGGTATACTTTCTTTGAGCGAGATCTTCTCGAAGTTGAGAGAGAGAGAGTCATCGCCGTGAAATTATTTCTTTGTAAACGCAGTTCAACGGCAGCTATTTTGGCTTTCCTACATCAGCACGCACCATTCAATCACTCATTGCTCGCTGAGTTCGAAGCGTGTCGATGCGAGACAAAGACCCCCCAACCCGCCTGATCATGGCCGTTGTTCGGAGCTATCGTTCGCGGTCTTGGATGCCGTGTGGCTCTCATGGTCATGGTTTGAATAAATACAACTGGCATGTACGGGCCTTGTTGGCCTCTTCCAGGTTGATTTTCGATTTCGATTCCCCGCCTGCGCTGTGTAGAGCCAACCCGAAATCGAAAATCAAAATCTAAACTCGATTTCGATTTTCGATGCAACATTTTTTTGACAAGGTCCACGCTGAGAAGTCCATCGATGCGCAAATGAAGGAAGGCTTCGCCAGGACATGATTAGAGACTATGCTATGCAAAGTATGATGATTTGGGGGGGGGGGTCCTTCTTGCCTGGGAAGTCGACCGACCGTCCGTACTGCCCGATGACGGTTTACAAGCCTTTCGGCGTATTACCTTCCTGACGTATCAGCCGGGGTCACACAAGAGGAAGATCACACAGGAGCTTTTTTTTATTGTTATTACCCCGCATTTCACTCTGTGGTGCTTCCCTTCGTTTTTCTCGCGAGGAGGATTCAGCCGCCCCCTCGTCGACGAGATTGACCACTAGACGACCACTACTGTACCATGAGAGTGAAAACCAGAAATCCTATGCAGCCGTACCCGTGCAACCGTGCTTGATCGCCTGCCATACATATACGTGTCGCTACATCTCCTCTTGTCTGATTCAGGCCACGACAGAAGAAGCTGGGGCGGCCATGTGCAACGAATGGGCCAACTCCGCGCTCACCAAGTTCGAGCAGCTGCTGGACGTGTTCGTGTACCAGGGGAGCGAGGCTCTACGAGACCACAGCGGCGCCCGGTGGGGAATTTTACTTGGAAATTTCTTCGAAAAAATGTTTCGGGTTGGCGGGAAAATTCTTTGCTGTCGGCGTGGCCGCCTTGCTGCTATTTTCGGTTTACATATTATGGTTCGCCTGCAAGTGGAGTGCAAGGAGCGCTAGACGCGGGTGTGACCATGTGTTGTCAATATTCGGGTACCGTCAATATTCGGGTACCGTATGTTAAGCGAGTGATGGCACCGCCACGTCCGTCACCATGTGTATCGTCGCCGTTAACTGCAACCGGAACAGGGCTTGCGGATTCGACATGGCCATCCTGGTGGAGCGGCTTATCTTTGCCGTCGGCGAGGTAGCCCTGGTTGGCTTCACCAGCAAGGTGATTGTTGGTCTTATGTATGTACATACCGTTAAGCATTGGTGCACTCAATGGCATGGACATGGTGCTATCGTTAAGCATTGATGCACACTCACGACATGGACATAGTGCTACCGTTAAGCATTGATGCACTCACGATATGGGCATGGTGGTGGTCAGTGTCACGGGCAAGATGATAAAAAAAGTGGCAAATCAACAAATCATGCCATGAATGCGCTCACGACACGGTTCTCGTTGACTCCACGGGGAAGCTGATCATCGGTCTTGCCGGGAAATTCTACAAGTATCATGCCATTGATGCGCTCACGATGTGCTTCCCGTTGATTCCACAGGGATGGAAGGCGATTGGTTGCTGTGTTACTGTTATGGTCCATCTTGCCGAAATCAAAACAAGTGGTTTCTCTCTCTATGTACGTGTCTGTCTGTCTGTCTTCCGTCCTCGCCACCAGGAGGACGCAGCAGGACCCTCCGATCCACAGGCTCCGGGCGCCGGCAAGAAGTCGGCCGAGATCACTGCACGCCCCACAGCGTCTCCGCGCCTCGTTGAGCTTGTTCAGGTATCTATTGTACAGGCTGTGACACCGTATCTGACTACCTCGAGAATGGTTGAAATCATGTTGACTAAATCGGGGTGCAGCTAAATTCGAGTTGGTAATGCTGCTGGATTCGGATTGTTTTTGTCCTTCTCGCCCGCTAGTGGGGGTGTTGATGTGTCGACGATGTCCCTCGGTTTTGACGATGCTTCGCGATGTTTTGCGGCAGAGCATGGACGAGTTGTTGTTGGCGTTTTATCGTTACATGTATGGCTGTAAGAACAAAGCCAAGTTTATTGCTAGGCGGTGTTTCACCGGATTTTTTGTTCGGTGCGTTAGTCCCGTATACGTGCCGCCTTCCTGTCTACACAAACATTTCTCCTTGCCTTGCCGATACGGAGGATATAGGTTGCTTCTGGTAATATCTTCTCGTGTCTCATGTCTTCTACTGCTGAACGCATTCCACGTTGTAGCGCATTAACGTGGGCGTCGTATGTCGTAGATCGTCGCCTTCTGCGTTTGGACCGACGGACGGGTCTGACTCTTTCTTTTCTCTATGATGTCCATGTTTCGGCGGGCCTTTAATCCGGACACCCAGGTACTGCTCCCGCCGCGCCTTCCGACGTCCGCACACGGAGTGGAGGAAGGGGAGGAGGGGCCAGAGACTCCTTCGCCCGTCAGGGCTTTGGCGTTCGTCACCCTAGGTAAGTGGTATACCGTATACCGTATACTGTACACTACACAAGATAACACCCCCCCCCCGACGGTACTAACATGTTGGCTTCGAAAAGTGGTACCTTGTGTTTGCCCATTGCTTGATCTGAGAGTAACTGCTACAATCGGTTTTGGGCTCATGTTGCCTGCAACCATGTTAACATTATGGTTGTGGTGTGTGCTATCTTCTGTGGGGGTGTTGATATCTTGTGTTGTGTTGTGTTGATGTCTCGTGTTTCATTCGCCTATTACGACGCAATACGTACCCTAACGGGCAAAGTTATTGCTTTGGTTTCTATGCATAGAAATATTTACCGTCGTGTAGAAGAGCGCCGTGCTTGTTGAGGTTATTCAGTCTGGGCAGTGTTTAGGAGACCCAAGTTTTTGGTCTTGCATTCCTTACATACTTGTACTCGTTGAGTCTTTTTCCGGGTGGACTTGAGCTCTCGTGAGTAATGATGTGCTCTACTTTTCTGTGCATGGCATAATAGATCCACGTGCACCTGACTGGACCAGAAACCTGAGGCTAAGGCAGTAATGGCTTGCTTACATGTACATGGCTCTTTCGTACTTTAGACGAAGATGCGCCACACCCATCAGCAAAGGCCAATGCGACCGTTGATCGAAGGGAAACATCAATAGCACCGGCATCGCCATCATCACAAACAACACCACGGAACACAACGGCGAAACACCAGCAACAGCACAAGCTTGCGACACCTGTCGCCTACCGACCAAGGACCAAACGTTTACAATGCAACCCTAAAGCTGCCGTCGTGAACCCGTCCCCCAGGCAAGCTGTGCCTCCGGGACAAGGCCTTGGCGAAGCGCAGCGTGAACCTCTTCGTGAGGGAGTTGGACACGGCAGCGGCCCCCGCCGTCCGGAGTAATGCCCTCGTCGTCCTTGGCGACCTCTGCGTCAGGTGGGACGGCGACCGAATGACCCGCTCGCTACTGCCTGCTGCCGCACTTTTTGTTTTTTTCTGCCCTCGCGTACCTGTCTACTTCTGTCTGCTGGGTTGCCCGCAACATTTGTTTGCGCCTCTTTATCTGGTCTTGTACAGTCTCTGTCTACCGTTTTTTTTTGCAGCATGGTAAAACAGCAGTGGTTGTGACGCTGTTATCTGTTTCGCAGTTTCCAACCACAATATCCGCCACGGAAAAGTACGATATGCATATGTGTTTTGTTCGCCCTGCGCTTGTTGGTCTCCTGTCCTTCGCTTCTTACGCTAATTGTTTTTGGTTGATCATTGTCTCCTCCTGTCGATGAGCGGTGTCTTGGTGTGTTGGGTCGGTGGTGTACAATAGTGCACTTCGACTGTTAGCCTTAGTTGTTTGCGTTGTGGTATATTATTTCGTACGGACACGGCAGGCATGGTTTGTAGACAGTACGACAGCAACAACAGGTTCCTCGAGCGTGTAGTCCTTCTCTGTGTTATTTTCCGCGGATTCGATTGTCCGGGCGAGCTACGCTATTTACGAACGGTCATGTGTTGACCCAAAGCAGGCAGAGTTGCAGAAAATGTGATTGACTTCAAAGCAAGACTTGGGTAGGCCGTTTGAGGTAGTAATGTCCCGTTTTACGTAGAAGGGATGTGCCCAAGTCGTTGCCGTGATGGCCTGTGTTCTCCTGACGAAACCGCTGTCCTGCAAACGCCTTGTACGGCGATGTACACGCGACACCAGGTACACGGCCATGGTAGACCGACACGTGGCAGCCATGGCCGCCTGTCTCCAGGACCCCCACCCCCTGGTCAGGAGACACGCCATCCTCCTCATTAGCCAGCTCCTGCTGCAGGTATCTCTTTGGTGTTGATGGGGCGATATCGAGCCTTTCAGACAGAGAACAGCGTCGAGTATGTCTCCATGTTTTTTGCGATATAGATTTTGTTTTTGTAGGCGTACATGCCGTGTCAGTGATATCATTCAGTCGACCCGTGGCTGTGAATGATGTCGACCCGTTTTACTCACAGACACAGATACTAAGTGGTGGTTTTGCAGTTTTCCGGTTTTACCGTTCGCATATTCATGAGTGCCGTACACAGCCACTCACCACCACTCGCTCTCGTTCTGAGGTTTCGAGGGCCTTTGAGTTCACAACCACAAGCAGTCTTCTTTGCGCAAGAGTATCATACCACACTGCCTTGCCTTAGTTCGCAGCGTCGCCGTGCGTCTGTTTTAGAAACTATCCCAAACCCCTTTCGCGGCAGATGTAGCGCTTGCGACATGCATGTGTCGCTCAGCAAACCCAAGTCGACTGGAGGCAGGAAGTCCCGACCCTATGTGTGTTTCTTCTGCCGGACCGACATCGGCCCTGGTGTCCAGTACTTCCGGGTCCCGGATCCCACCGGAAAAATGAACGATGACAATACCCGAAAGGTGTGTCTTGTCCTGACAAAATAAAAGCAGGACAAGACTTCTGGGTGTTATCATCGTTCATGTTACCGGTGGGATCCGGGATCCGGAAGTACTGGACACCAGGGCCGATGTCGGTCCGGCAGAAGAAACACACAAAGGGTCGGGACTTCCTGCCTCCAGTCGACTTGGGTTTGCTAAGCGACACATGCATGTCGCACGCGTTACATCTGCCGCGAAAGGGATTTGGGATGGATTCTAAAACAGACGCACGGCGACGCTGCGAACTAAGGCAAGGCAGTGTGGTATGATACTCTTGCGCAAAGAAGACTGCTTGTGGTTGTGAACTCAAAGGCCCTCGAAACCTCAGAACGAGAGCGAGTGGTGGTGAGTGGCTGCGTACGGCACTCATGAATATGCGAACGGTAAAAGCGGAAAATTGCACCACCACCACTTAGTATCTGTGTCTGTGAGTAAAACGGGTCGATATCATCAATGGCTCGCACACGACTCACATGTAAAATCGTGTGGGCCCATCTCACAAACGTCCCAACGATGCTACGAGAGCCATCGCCCGGCGTCGACGCGACGATACAAACTCTACTACGGCAGGACTACGTGAAGTGGAGGGGGCTTCTTCTGTACCGTTTCCTGGCCACACTGGTGGACTCCGATGCCTCTGTCAGGGATCTGGGAGCGTTTACGCTCACCCGTCCGCTCATCACCAAGGTGTGTCGTCGCTGCTGGATGCTACTATACTGGGATGTTCTTGTCCTCGCTGCTGTAGCGCTCTTGGTATGGTTTTGGTGTCTTGATAGAAAATAGCCGTTGTCTAAATAGAAAGCAGCCGTTGTATGCACACTGGTGGAAGAGTGCTCGCTGGTATTATCGGGTATCATGCTGGACACCACAGCAACTGTTCTCGTTCTCTTGGCAGGTCAGACTACATGTAGTTGCATAATGGACTAGGGTGCTCTCTGTTCACCATTGTGTTGTCGCAACGTGTGACCCCCCTCCACAGCTGAACACCTACTAAGTACTATGCCATGCGCATCCTGCTCGAGCGGTTAAGCGCAACAAAAACACAGTCGAAATGGGGCGGCGCAACATCCTCTCTGATCAGAACAGTGCAGAGCGGTGAGATGCTGTGGTGGATCGGGTGGAACCACGTGATAAAACAACACAAATGTAGCGTGGTCTTTTTCGCGCCTGTAAGCACTCCATCCGAACATCGTCGCTGCTGAACCCTAGCTTGACAATTTCAGCAACCCCTTTCTTGCACGGCCTCTCCCACCCCCCTCCCATCGGGTGCCCTGCTTCTTCAGACTCCCGGCCTCTTCGCTCAAAACTTCGTGGAAACTCTGTTCGTCCTCAACAACTACTCGGAGCACCCGTGCTACGCGGCGGCGGCGGCGGGCCGTGCAGACGCCGGGGGCGGGGTGACCATGGACGGCATTGATCTGGGAGGGGATAATCCGGCACAGGTGAGGAGCTACGAGTGATGATCTTGGGGTCGTTTTCGACGTGTAAACGAAAGGATTAATACGAGGTCGGAGTGAAGCGGGAGCAATATGTCGTATTTTTTTTTTTGCTGTGTTATGCAGAGGCGCAGGGGCGGCCGTGAGCTATTGTATACGTGGAATCTTACCGTGCCCCTGTCCCACGCCGCGGTAGACACGCAACATTGCAATATCCATTTGCTCCAAATTGTGGACAGATTGACAGGGCCTATTCCAACCTCGTATGATGGGCCGATGTTCCAATACCAAAGTCCTAAGGCCAGCAACCAACCTGTGTGGGACCATAGAGCACCTTGCGACCGGCTTTTCCCACGACCAACCGGCCGACTGCTCAACCCTTACACCCTAACACAAACCTCAAGAGTGGCACTTCAACGCTACGACCCTTGATGCTCACTGTATGATCCGGCAGATCCGCAGGCGCATCTCGGTGTACTCGACGATGCTAGAACACATGTCGGACGAGCAGAAGATTACCGTCACTGCGAAGCTCGCCCAAGAGGTACTCTCCGCCGTCATCGACGGCGGCCTCCCATTGGCCAATAGCACCGGTTCCGCCGCATCTAATTCCGCCGCGTTTGCGAACGGGAACAAGAACGGCGGGGGCGCGGAAGCGCGCAAGAAGGCGTCGTCGGTGGTGAAGGATGCCCTGACGATCATGGCATCCGCCGGGATCAGGGTGGGGGGGAGAGGGGGTGCGGCTGCGGCTACAGAAGCAGACGATGGCTCAGGTAAGGCAAGGAGAAGCAACTCATGATCAATTTGTGTTTTTGTGGCGTTCATACAGAGCGTCTTTATGAAACAACTACTGTACTGTGTTCTTTTGTTGTTTTCCGGACAAGGGTGTGAAACATTCCAGTGCTATTAGAAGCGCTGTAGCACTGGTCTCTCTCTCGCGTTGTTATTGGACAAACCTGCGGCAGACAAGCCAGTCAATCAAGCAAAGATATACGACTTACTTACATAAGAGATTCGTGTTTTTCGTTGAATTTGATCCACAGCTCGAATCGCCAAGATCTTCCCACTGTAACCCATGAAGCAGCAGAGTTGATGAAAATCACGCACACCAACGAACTCTCGGAGCACGCACACCAACTTCTCCTTCCTCTGGCAGGAATACACAACAACAGTGCCTGTAATCTGCGACCGTCCCGACAATGCGACGCTGGTATTCACCACCTGATCCCCACACTTGCCCCTGTCTCACGGTGCAATGCTTTGCTTTTTTTGCTCCTCCATACCCCGTGGGCGTGGCAGAGGATATGGGGTCCCAGCAGTCGGGGGCCGGTGGATTGGCCGCGGCGAAGAGGACGCTGCTTTCCAAGGCAAGTGATATGATGTAGGAGATGTACCACGTTGCGTGGGACGGGATGGATCGAATGAACTGCATTACCGCGTAATTTTACACAAGATAAACATGCCCCGGTGATAACAGTGGCTTCTAATATACTGAGGTCCAGGTGTGGTATTGTGGGTGTGGGTGGTATCACTTGATCTGAGAGTATGTTTGTTGTTAGGGTTTGTGTTGACTCGAGAAAATGCCGCCACAGGGTGTGTATTTCTGTGGGTGCTATCCTATGCCGGTGAGAAGTTTCGAGTCGTCGTACCATACGGTGGCCTACCTTCGCGGTCACTTTCGCCCCTGTGACCAGTCAACAAGTCCAATTTGTTTCTCGATCTACGTATTGTCCCTTTGGTCATGATCGATACGGATACGATTATGATGTTCAACCCGTCTCACAGGTTGCCCTGAAGCACCTCATGGAGAAGGTGGTGCCAATCCTGACGGCCCTCAAGCACGTCCTCGAGAGGGCACACTCGCCGCTCCTCCGAGAGATCATGTCCTACTTCGGCGAGCTCTTCAGGTAAGTAAAAATCCCGTCACAATATCATACAGACACGCGTCGCCCCAAAGAGGTGGTGTGTGTATGTAGTCCAGAAGGTGCGGATTTGATTTTCACGGATTTTGGACCATAACGTTTGTAACCTATCTGGTATTTATTCCCTGTTGGTTTTCCAATTGCTCGAAATAGCGAGGGACGTGAAAAATATGAGAGATGGCGCAATCGGCATTCTGAACATGTTCATGGTCGTTTTTCACAACATCATCCACTTGAAGTCTTCATGTTCCTTCTGTCGTGGTTGCCCCTACTGTTATGATGATTGCTGTCGTTGAACATGGCTTCTGTTCCGAAATCGTCGGCTGTAGGTATAGCTGGTGCTTGTGATGGCATCGTTTGCGGCCGCTGCGCTCGAGCCGCAAGGACGGTGCTGAAGATGTCCTCGAAGCCATATTGTTGGAGTTGATCGCAGCGGTTTGTGGCTGCAGATCACATCTCCTTCGGCATTCTAGACTGTATAAGCGCTCTCGCGCAGCAGCAGCCGCAGTGAGGAGGTGCAGGATGCTGTCACAAGGTGGTTGCACGTCGTTTTGCTTGCATGTACCTCTCCTGGCTCCCATCTCTTGTTTTTTCCTGTTTCCCATGGAATGTTTTCACTTCCAGGAGTCACAAAGAGGAAGTTAAGGCTGTCCTGGCTTCTGAGCCGGGACTAGTCGACGAGATTGACTTCGATCTCCGGAGATTTGAGAAGGAGGAGTACGAGAGGAGGCAGAAGGTCAAGGTGCAGTAAATGATGACCGCACCAACGACAGCAATACCAACAACAACGCCAACGTTAGATCAGTGCCAAATGACAGCACCAGCGATAGCAATACCAACAATGATCAGCGAAGTGGTTACAGAACAGTATCAACGACAACAGCAGTATCAACAGTATCAGCTGCCAACAACATCAACGGTACCATCCAGTGCCAGCAACAGCGATGATATCGGTGGCATCATTGAAGCAAGAAGTAGGCTTGATTCAGTGAGGCTCGGGCGAAAAAATATAGCAATCGGCCAGCCGCCTGCTGCCCAATCGAGTCTCACCTCAAGGCACACCTACCAAGGCTGCAAACCCGTACCTGGTACTCAACAACACGATGATACTGTACATAGCGGACGAAGGTCTTGTCGTTAGTATTGAAGGGAAGCCGGAGAGTGAAGTGCCGAATGTTATATATGCCCTACTGAGAGATATGTTCCAACACACCAAGGAGACTTATCGTCAAGAATCTGAAGACAATGGTCAGTCTTGAACTAGCGGCAGCATTCCGTAGGCTTGAACCTCGAGTATCATGCACAAATCAGCAAGCCCCCGCCCGAACGTTGTCTCTTCAGGAGGCTGCCGCTATTGCAGCGGTGGCAGTGGCGGCTTCCGGTGCTGGCAGTGGCATGGGCCCTCCGAGGACTCCGAGCAACAGGAGGCGTTCTTCGATGGGAGGTGGTGGTGCCAGCGGGAGGCGGGGTTCATTTGCCGGGCAGAGCATGAGGTATTCCACCGTCACCGTTTTCTGTGTTGTTGTTGTTGTTGTTCGTCGATCCCTGCTCTGGCTATTGTTGCAGGCTCGGTTTGGGTGGTGCAAGTATCCTAAAGTTCAGTGTTTGGGAGCACCGTTCTGAGACCTCTTCTCAGGCTCGGTTCGGTTGTGCATGTATCCCAAAGCTCAGTGTTTGGGGGTGCACTTTGGAGTATATATGTTTGGACTATCCGGAGCAGCGGTTACCCCGCTTGGTTAAACGTTTCATGTCTCCGAGCTGTCAAGCGGTACATGGAGCAGGTAGCCGCACAAACACTCCAGGGACACCCACAGTGTGCCTGGTGGAGGACGTCCCCTCTTCATGATAACTCCTACGGCCGCCTGTACGGAAAAAACTCCCTACATCAACGCGGTTTGAGTACCCCACGGTGCCCGTGTACAGCGCCGTCCACAGACTAACATTACCAAGCCATTCTGTACCTCGTAGCGGCGGTCCCTCTGAATAGCGGCGGTCGATTCGCCGGGCACAAACAGGCGTTGACTTGAGGACCCCCCATTGCTGTGCCACCCTTGTGCCTAAACTGTTCCACCGTCGCAGGGACGCGTGTACACCTATGGCGGCGGTCCAGAAGTCGGCCCGCAAGACTCCCTTCCAAAACCTAGGCGCTTGCTCAGCGGTTAAGCTCAAGGCCTCAACGCCGGGAGCTTCATCCATGTTCAGCCCCGTAAGGCCGGGGGGTGGGGGCCGGGGCAGTCGACCCAAGGTATGGTAGACTGAGATTGTGTGTCGGATATTGGTTCTCGTCGATGTTTTTGTTGTTGTTGTTGTTGGTTTGGTGTTATTATGCTGGTTTGGTGATATTATCGTTGTTGTGCAACCGAACATGATGGTACCTATGAAAGCATTTGCGCATCATGACCTAGGTTTGGTCGCCCACTTTTTCTCCCAGTGGTGCTGTCGGGTCGGTGTTGAGGTTGTTGAGCCCGCTGTTGTTTATCGCGATTGGGTAGACAATGTCATCTGCAGAATCAAGGCGGCTTGGGGACGGTTCAAACTGCTCCTGCTTGAGATCGTCGTTTTTTCGCTTCTCGGATGTACGTCAAATGTTCAACTTTTTTGCCTAACTTGTGCCTACGGAATTTCAGATTTCTTTTTGGGGTTGGCCTGCTGTTGCTTGTTCGATGCCTTTTGATGTAAGTTCATGGGGATTTGTACATGTCTCACGGGTTGCCGACAAAGGGTTCGTAGAACGAGGCGATCAGTGTGTACAGGATGTTAATTTATCTTTTTGTCCCACTCCACGTGATACCTCCAAAAAGAGTGCAACCCTACAAGCGGAATCGTCTGTGTGTGCACGTGAACCCGCTGACGCGAGTGCTGCTCCCGCCGGTTGTTTCTCGATGCAGTACCCCTCTTGTTGTTCTGTCTGGCCGTCATTCCGTTCCGTTTTATGACCCCCGTTTCCGTACGGTGCACCCTTCTCGTTGGTGTATCTGCGCTCATTTCGTTTCGTTTGATGAACTCCTCTTCCGTACCGTGTACCGTATACATCTATCTGTTCATGTCGCGCTTTGCGTCCGCCTCCAGACACCTGTCCAGCTTCGCACTCCTCGCCAAGCCGTGGCTGCCGCCCTCGGCAACTCCCCAATGGACACGGACACGAGTCCCGTCCCCATCAGGAACATGCTCAGTGACCGGACGGTGAGCATCCTTACTAGTAATGTAAACACCCGCGTTAATGGGCTCGGGATGGCACGCGGCATTGCGTTGGACGTAACAAATCGGGCCGTTATGTTGCAGCGTGTCCATTCGGCTGCTTCGCTGCTCTTGTCCGTCTTCGATTTGAGCGTGTACCTCCGGCTGCATCTCTGCCTTTCCGTCCGCCGCGGCTTCCGCTCGATCTGTTCAAGCCGATGTCGCGTTCCATCTTCACCCCGTCAAAGTGGCTTTTTCCCGGATACGATCCATGTTTTCGCGCCGTCAAAAACAGATTAGTCGTCACCACCAGAGGCAGCTGAGAAATAGGTAGGGTTAGCTGGTAGCAAACGAACACAACAGCGAAGACTTGGCGTCGCTCCAGCATGCACCCCGCTTGCGCTGTCCAGGCAGACACACGACTTCCGGAGAGGGCATTGAGCTTCGAAACTATCCCGCGTGATCATGCCTCAACTTCTTCCTTTTTCGTCCCGTCGTATGCATACATGCGCGTACATACTTCGGACGTGGTTACATGTACCACAGGCGAACGACGGGTCTTCAGGTCCATCCAGAGGCAGGAGTGAGGGTGTGGGCGGGGCGGACATTGAGCTGGCCTCTCCCGTTAACCCGCACCCGGCCAAGAAGCGTCGGTGGGCGGTGTCGGTTCCGCTACCCACAGAGGGGGAAGATGGGGATTCTGGCGAAGAGGTGTGCTGTTGTTGGTTGCGTTTTGGTGTTTTTCCCGTTATTATGTGTTGTTTGTCATTATCGTTCCGGTGACCGGTGTAGTGGTAAAAGGGGAGGCGTTGAATCTGACCTCTTGACTCTAGGTTGCTGATACCGTGGGCCGTACCGATCCGGACGGCTTCCCGCAGTGACCAGTGACCAGGTAATTCGACAGAGACCATGAAATGTGGTACGGAAGCCTCTAGGATACGTGAGTAGTCCCTCTTGGGCTGTCTCTGCATGAACATGGAATCGAATCATACATTCATAACCCCATAACGCAAGAGGGAACCAACCAACGCAGGTCTTATACACTTCAACAGCAGTGAACACAAGTACAGCGTCTGGCAAGGCCATTCGCGTTGACTGACTTCAAGTGTTGGTGTGATTATGGGAAAGGGGGAGGCACAGCTCGTGAAATATAGCAACGATGCTCGTGCACTGCAGCACTATGGCCTGGGCGGAACATCACCCGTAACGTTTGAATGCTGCCATTCTGTGTGCCCGATCTAGTGACAATGTTGGCCGTCTCGATGTTGGCATCGGTACATCGCTCCATCACAGGAGTTCGACGGCGGCGGCGTTTCCACCATGCGGGGGGGCACGGCATCTACCCGTCGGGACGAGGAAGAATCGGACAATGAAAAAGGTGCGGAGGCGGGGGTCGGAGGGAAGGAAAACAACCCCTTGTCCACCAACAGAAATCCCTCTTCCGATGGAAACTCTGGTGATTTGAAGAGGAGCGGCAAGGGCAAGACTGCCACCAAGAGCGCGAAAGGTCCCATTGTCTCTTCGGGAGCATCTGGAGGGAAGGGTGGGGGGGAAAAGGCGTCCGTCTGTGTGGTTGAACAAGGCGCCGGGAAGGCAAAATCCGGTTCTAGGAATCGTGCCAAGCAGGAGGTGAGTGTGTTGGTGGTAGCGGTGGCGGTTGGTGGACGTACAGGTGTTTACAGACTTGGCCATCCACGCATGACTGTGAAATACTCCGTTTTCTTGACCTTGAAGAGCAGTTGTTGATTTGCGGCTGCTTGTTCCCTCGCGCCGTTGTCACGCGGTTTCACACCTGCTGATCAATTGGCGTTTCAGGCCAAGGTCGCCCCTTCCAACACCGCATCCGCGACAAAGCTACGGCCGGTGCGTCGGTCATCACGTGCTGCCCGAGGATGAAGGCCCACACGTTCAACATTTTCAAGATCGCGAGGACGCAGGATCGAAAAAGGGGCTGGCGCTCTTGTGACACTGGGCACTTCCCAACCGGAGGGATGTAGAACATTTGTCGGTGTCGCTTGGAGGATTGAAGGTAACCGGTAGATGAGGCAGGCTCGGAAACGGCTGGTGCCTTCGGGGATATCCGGATGGGGTTCGGAGATAGCCGAATATCAGTAGCGATATGTGATGCGGGAGGGGGGGTGCCGCACAGTTAGAAAGTTGGTCCCGAGGGCGTTTTTTTTTGCTGTCTCGCCTTGATTCGAGGTTGTTGTTTTGGGGCTGGTTGCTTGGGGTGGTGACGAGAGTAGGCTTGTTGCAAAGTTCTTCTTCGTCCCGCAAAATAATTAATTGGAGCTCGTGAATATGAGGGTGAGCCGCATTCTGCTTGTAACCGGTTGGGTTGCGTTGTTACAGGGGGCGCTCGCGCGGCACCAACCGCAACCCTGTTCTTGGGAGCGTCAGAATGTTCGACGCACGTATTTGTATATGTTACCGACCGCGTAAAGATGGTAATGTCTGATTAGTTTTTCTAGCTGGAAGGAGCTCTCAGGGATATTAAATTGGGTATGCATAGCCTTGCCGTGATTTATTTTCTGATATTGGTGTTGGTATTAAGCAGGCTGGCAAGTGAACAAGATGTCGTGCTCATGGGTAAGCCGTACAAGTGAAGACTGTTTCGAGGGAACACAGGTTAGATGCGTGAAAACGAAAGCTACGGCCTACCTAGGTACGAGAAGATGAGCACCACTCAAGAGCGGCACCGGACGAAACACGAGCCCTCACTTGCTGGTCGTGGAATTGTCCACAGCAGACTTGGTTGACGGGGCAGACATTTCTTTGGTGTGGCGTGCAAGTACGAGAGACGGGTCGGAAGGGTCTCCAGAACATAATTTATGGGTTTTCTACTGTATCCAGACACGAGTTGTTGCACCAACGAAGGAGGGCCTGCCAGCGACCATGAACGTGGATATGGAATACATGCAAAACAAAGGTGTATGAAATGATTGGTTCATACAAGCCGTACTCAATTATGGGCAGGTAGATGCACTGCCGGCATGCTAGATGTGGAGGAAGAAGACGTTGCGGCACTGAAACAAACTCTCTTCGTGTTTGGCAAAACAGGAGAAAATATGTTACTTGTTCCTGTCGGAAAGCGGAGGGTAAATCAATGCTCGTGTGGGCCTGACAGATGCATTGCTCCGGAGGGGTAAGAATATGGAAATATACAGCAGTAGGGTAAGGAGTTCAATCCTCTTCATGTAGTTGTGAGGGTTGACAATAGGCAAATGCAAGACAATAAGGGAACCAAGCGGTTGTAGCAGCAGAAGGTTATTGCCAGCCGGACTGAAGGCTGGCGTCTGGAGATTTTCCTTTCTTGGAAAGGCGAGGATCTGATTGGCCAAGGCGATCGGGGGGTGTTTACGTTGCATGGATTTTCTCAGTGGCGGGAAGGCCGCGGTTGCTGTATGAAATGTCGACGTGTCAATATACTTGGGTCTGGCCAACGCACGAACGATCATTTCTTTGTTATCTCCCAGCATTTCTTCGGCCTTACGGGGTGCGCATACATGTTGCCTGCCTCAAATGACGGGGGGGCATTCTTCGAGGAAGAAAAATACGACTTTCTCGAAGTATTGAACAAATGCCCAACAACTGACAGTTCGCCAATTGTTTGGCACGTTTCGGACTTCTCGCTGTGGTCCAGAACAACATGTCGTTGCACAATGGGGCAAGCGTGCCGAATGCATGAAATTCGACAGTGTCCGGCCAATACGAAGAAAGCAACAAGGCTCCCGTAACTGCGCATGGAGACCCACGAAAAAAAGTTGCCGGTCAACCTCGCAAGCTTGTAGGTTATGGTGCGCTCAACAGCCTTTCGTATAGCATGCCGTTTAAGCATCGAGACTTCTTTGATTACGGGGAGAGCAAACGAAACACCTAGAGGGATATCTCACAGGAACTACGTGGACCAAAATGTAGAAATTATAGTGTTGACACCCTCGGCCACTTCGGTAAACAGAGAAACTTCCCTACGCACGGCGATCGGGAAAAAAAGAGCTCATCATGCTGCTCATCGCCAAAAGCAACAAACAATACTTCATAGCACCTCTTTCAGACACCCCCGGACGAGTGCCTCTACCTCAAGTTTGTGAACAGACCAGCTCGTTGGCACTCATCTGTAGCCAGAGTGAAGCCGTGCGTTGGTAAACTGACGACACCATGCGTCCAGACAACGCCACATAGCACACACCAACCCCTCTCTCCCACTGTCCAGGCTGTGGATCGCCTCAGAACTCGAAACGCCGGCCCGCTCAGCGGCAGCATGCCATTTTTTTTACGGTATTTTGCAGCAAATGTCACGTTGCCTTACGATTCCAACACTTGTTCTTGTTGAAGCTCTCCACAATACGCGAGTGGACTAACAAAGAGTAACACCAACCCTAACACAGTTCACGACAACGACCCGCCTCGCCCTCAGTGTTTTTCACATGTATGTTGGGTCAGCCTAGCTTCTAACCCACCCGTCACAGCCAGGCACCACGAGGTACACACAATAATTGTACAATATAATGGCTTGTCGAGCATCACTTTGCGGCCACTACTGACACAATCAGCAACATGACATGCCCGGTGACACGCTTGAAAACAGAAACAAACGCGACTTCAACCCCGACGTGTTTTCAACCTCAGACAAATAACCACAAGAAAGAACACAAAAACAACCAGTTCATATCTGAGGTACGCAGGGTAACACGCTCAATATCTTGCGCAAATATGCACCGCTTGCTGTGATCATCAAGTCCCCTTCCTCCACGTCTGAATTTTGAACGATGAGGTAAAACCATTAAAATCGTGTTCGCTTGCCTTGATGGCACGTTTACCCTGAGTTCACCCTTTTTGCTGCCTACCGCACACATAGTTGTCCATCGTCGGTGTACGGCAATTCACAACGTCTCGAAGGGTCGGTGCCAGGAAACAGATCGATCCAGCACGATGTCTACCCAACGAATCTTTCCACGATGTTTGCACTGCTGCCCGCCACGCAGTACATGCCGCTTTCGAGCGTGTCGTCGCACGAAAAAGGAAGTCATGCAGTGGAGGGGATCGTCAACTCGACGTGATTGGGTATCATTGAGTCCCTCGCTGATAACCGCGGGCTCGCCTTGCATGGAGACCACAACTGTACCCAATCCCGTACCCGTCTCCCCGTCCATGCCTTCTGTTGAGAAGCACGATGACCACTAGACTACTAGTCAGCCGAAGCACGATGACCACTAGACCGAGTAGTCTAGTGGTCATCGTGCTTCTCAACACCTTCCCCGTTCTCCATACATGACCGAAAGCAGGGCCCGCACAACCGGGTACGTGCCCCTCGACAGATGTCAATGCAGACCACGTCCTTCACGAGTCACACATTGATTGTAAGGAGGCCGGCCATACCATCCCGACGATAGACTGACTGGTTGAATTCGCGCCCAAACGAAAGCAGCTACAGGGAGGCCGGCCACGTGATATCGGTGATGGGCTGGTTGGATTTGTCACTAAGCGCTAGCTACTGCAGGAAGGCCGGTCACGCGACTCCGACGATGGGTTGGTTGGATTTGTCACCAAACGCTAGCTGCTGCAGGAAGGCCGGCCACGCGACTCCGACGATAGGTTGGTTGAAATTATCCTCAAAAGATAGCTGCTGCAGGAAGGCCGGCCAGATGACCCCGACGATGGGTTGGTTGAAAAACAATCCAAACGATAGCCGCTGCAGGGAGACAGCCCACACCGCTCCGACGATGGGTTGGTTGACTTCGGATC